GTCTTCATTAAGTTTTCGCAATTTCCATTGTTTCCAACTATTACAAGGTTTGTTTAACTGAAAAGACATGAAGCTAAACTAAGCTTTTCATTAAATTACTTTGACAGCGCCAAAGGATAAATGTCAAATAAACTGCCAAACGTCAAATTGTTGCATTTGCATCAAAGAGTATAATAAGTATAGGGGTAAAGAGTTGCCACTCGTCAAAATTTATGCCAATCAATTTGAAACGCCATCTGAAAATTGAATCCAAGTATATTTTTTTTTTTACTAATGTCTACAGATAATCCTAAGTATAGCTAATGCCAATACTACCAACAATGCACCTTGCAGGTTGGTACATTGAAGGTAGTATTGGAATTAGCTATGTCTGGTAGCTGCAAAATCAAAGAAGTTATTAATTACAATATTACATTTATTTTACAGTAAATACAAATTAACATTTAAAAATTATCAGCTAGTAGGGAAATATCAGACGACAGATTTGTTCAAAGTATAATTCAAATTTTAGTTCTTTTTAATTTTATGTTTACAAATTTCAGATATAAATATGTCGTTCAAAATTTATTTGAATTAGTTATTTTTTTAATTATTGATCCCACAAAGAACTAAAATTAAAAATATTTACTGTTCACTGTTGTTTACACAGTACCTAACAGTAGTTAACAATCTAATGATATAAATTAACCGTAATACCTACACAAATGTAGTACATTTTACCATCGATTTGAATCGCTTACAGTATTTACAAAAACACAAAATTATTATACAATTTACATAACATAACATACATAACATCACGCCTTTTTATCCCCGAAGGGGTAGGCAGAGGTGCACATTTCGGCACTCAATGCCACTGTACAATGTAACACCCACTTTTCACTAATTATGTTATAAGTCCCATGTAATAGGGGGTGAGCCTATTGCCATATACCGGGCACATTTCCAGACTACTCTACTACTACTGAGATTTTTTTAAAACCCAGTAATACTTTGCCCGACCCGGGTATCGAACCCGAGACCCCTTGCCCGGCAGTCGCACTTATTATTATAATGTCGAAAAATATAGTGCTTAAAAATAAGTCTCAGTCTGCCTCTCAGTCAGTCTCAGTTTTTTAGTACTTTTTTTGCTAGTTGCTAATAATGCCTGACTTAGTCGTTTCCTATATCTAGTTATATTACAGTCATTTTTACTAAACAACTACAGATTTTTCCTATCCTCAAATATAATCTTTTTATAACATTATAATGAAACAAAGTAATATTATTATTATAAATACAAATGAAAATGAAACAGGCAAAATAATGTGGGAAATCCCAATTCAGAGACTTCACAGTTGCCCACAACAGACCGGACATAATATACACAAACAAAACATCCAACACCACATATCTCTTTGACATAACTGTACCATGTAACTACAACATAGGAGCAAAAGAAATTCAGTAAATACCACTTTTTAAAGACACAACTCAAGGCTAGACGCCTTGAAATATTGAAACGCATGTTAATTCTATAGTAATTGGAGCCACAGGAGTAGGTACTAGCCAAAAGCCTCAGCAGATACACAGACAAACTAGAAACATAAATAGACATTAGCCACCATTCACACAATAATCATTCTTAGCAAAGTACTAGGAGACACAGTTTTCGTCACATACATTCCAGATTCCGATCAATTACAACCATCTCAAGCGCAAACACCACATACCACTCAGTCAACCATCAAATGAAGCTCACAATCCACATCTGGCACACAAACTACACCCAGTTAGTAGTCAAGTAGTCAGCAGAAGAGAAAGAAGGAGATTTATAAGTCAAATTTAGAAGGGGCTATGAGCATCGTTTTTCCTGCGGGTTGCGGGAAGCGGTGCCCATTTTCACCAGGTCAAGCCCAAGAAGGAGAGACCTCTACATATATGAATACAAATAAGTAAAACCTAGAATAATGCTGCCAGTCTTTTGGGCACCCTACTCCACGATAGCGATGAAAAAGAATTTTTTGATGCCCTAAGATAACATTTTTTTTTAAAGTGTGAATATGTACCTATTTTAGTTTATTTATAATTTAATATTACTTTGTTGTGCGTAGATACTTAAAATGTTGTTCTAATTATGATATATACATTAATACATAGAGCAACACGGGCCATCGGCGGACCATTAATAGAAAGATAAAAATAATTTAACAAAAATAATACGGCTTTAATATTTGCAGCGATCTATGGGTTTCTTGTTTCTTGAGACAACAATATACGTCTGAATGTTAGAACAATTCCAAATAGTACCTGAAAAAAAAAACAAAGATTATTTTTACATGCAGAAATATGTATTTTATTTATTTGTTTTCTTTTATTTATCTAAGGTAGGTGTACCTTACGTGATATTACTGATGTTACAAGAATAATATAGTATTTACCATCTCTAAAATAGGTTTCAAGCACTGCTGGTATAGATCGGCACTTTATCCGAACATCGTAAGACTCGTAACTGCCGATAAAAATTGCACTATTGATATTCTGCAATGATGATGCTGAAGTAATATCGATGCAATAGCAATTCCAAATATCACTGTAACAAATATACAAAAGAAAAAGTAGAAATTTATAAAAACTACATAGTTTGGTATCTCAATGAATCAAATAAAATGTATAAATAGGTTCAATAGCAAAAATCATAAACTTGTTGTAGGTTTTACCTTCAGCAACATGATTGTATTCTTCGTATTGATGTTCTTTATTATAAATAAGATATATACGCAAATTAAAGCGTTCCTTTGTAAAATCAAGTCCAATGAATAGACAAACAAACACAATGTACTTTTGTGATTTGTGATACACATGTATACAAAAGGTCCTATATAGAAAACACAACACGCATCGCAGAATTTCCTTTTTTAGAAAAACAATCACAAAATCCCATCACAAATTATTAAATAATTTAAAATATTTTTGGCAAAAATTTTTACAATTTTGACATTTCAAATTTTTGTTTTTGTTTCTTTTCTTTATCAAGCAAAAAGTATACATATTATATGCCAGTATTAAAATAGTACAAACTACATGCATACTATTTTATAAAATAAGGAGATAATATAAAAAAGTATTTAACATCAATATCTAATTATTAACAATATTATTTTAATAGTTATTTATTACCTAAATAATTTGGAAAATTATTATTGTAATGTTTTAATATTTTTTAGCCCCAGCGTTGCCGTAAAAAATAATAATTTGACAATCCATATAGTACAAGAGCCTATGAACCCCAGACCTTTGTTATTTACACATAACGGACTTAAAAAAAAGGAAAAGTTATATACCTATAAGGTTTTTTTATGTTCCTTCAGGGATGACTTTGTCGTTTTTTAACGTATTTTGATGATTATTTTTTAACCGACTTTAAAAAAGGAGTATCAGTTTGATCTAAATGTATATACATATGTTACAGCCAAAGTGATTAATTTGATATTATTCGTAATGACTAGTAATTAATCAATTAATGACTAGCTATTATGAATAATATCTTTGAAAACTTGGATCAAATGGAAATGAACAGGGCTGACGTCTGCACAAAATTTTGAATTTATCGTCATGGGTGTCGTTTTCATGGTTTTCGAGGGTGATAAAGCCGATGGTGGTGTCAAATTGTAAATCCAAGATGGCGTGCGCACAACATTTTTCAATTTATCGTCATGGGTGTCATTTTCATGGTTTTCGAGTGTGATAAAACCGATGGTGTTGTGAAAATGTAAATCCAAGATGGCGTCTGCACAAAATTTTGAATATATCGTCATGGGTGTCCTTTTCATGGTTTTCGAGGGTGATAAAACCTATGGTGTTGTCAAAATGTAAATCCAAGATGGCGTCTGCACAAAATTTTGAATGTATCGTCATGGGTGTCGTTCTCATGGTTTTCGAGGGTGATAAAGCCGATGGTGCTGTCAAAATGCAAATCCAAGATGGTGGCTGTACGAAATTTTTAATTTATCGTCATGGGTGTCGTTTTCATGGTTTTCGAGGGTGATAAAGCCGATGGTGTTGTCAAAATGTAAATCCAAGATGGCGTCTGCACAAAATTTTGAATTTATTGTCATTAGTATCGTCTTCATGGTTTTCGAGGGTGGTAACAAAGATGGTGCTGTCAAAATGCAAATCCAAGATGGCGGCTGCACGGTATTTTCAATTTATCGTTATAGGTGTCGTTTTCGTGGTTCTCGGGGGTGGTGAAAATGATGGTGCTGTCAAATTGTAAATCAGAGATGATGACTGAACGAAATAGAGTTAGTGCATTTATCGAGAAAGATAAAGTATGTGTGTGAATGTGTGTGTGTGTGTGTGATAGAGAGACAGAAAGAATGCGTGCGACCTATTTTATAGATTTTCTATGAAAATTGAGTATTTTCATATAATATTAGTTTTTATATAATAAAAACGGTGGCCTAGACCTGAGGTTCACAGGCTCTTAGGTTAATGCTTTTGGATGCAGAAACCTGACGCAGTCATTTCATAGAGTTTAGTTTGTCATCCATCACTTAATATCTTTTTAATCTCTATTATTAGTAAAGAGGCTGTCATCTTTGATCGATTATGCCAGCATAACTGTCATTTGATCTAAGTTTAAGGAATTATTTTGTAAAACTTGCAATATAGTATTAAATAAATGTGTATAATGTTATTTTACTATTTCCAAAAAATATTATTTTAAGCCTAAATTTTAAAATAATGTTGCAACCTTGCTTGGCACTGTGTGGCCACTGAAAATATTAGTTTTGACAACATTTAATTTCAGGTTCGAAAACTAGATGTAGTTGACGGTCCGATTTTTTAAGCTGTCAATGGCTCTAAGTGTGACGGCCCTGATTTGCATGTTGTTTTTTACTCTTGTACTGCATAGCGAAGTGAAGTGGTACATTATAAATAAAAGTTCTTACAAAAAGGCACAGTAAACGATCATCTTACGTTGAAGCTTATCAAGAGTAAAATATAGTGAATATAAAATGGTTCGCAGACATCGTGAACAGAGCACAACTGAGGATGAAATCGTAATTGGTAAATACATCTAAACTTTGTTTTGTTGACAATCAATAATCACCATGCTCTAAATATTAATAAAAATGACGATTTATAGACACGCCGCCGCCGAAAAAACATAAAAGGCATAAGCACAAAAAGCATAAGAAGAGAAAATTAGAAAATGAATACGATAGCGAATCGTCTATCGACGTATCGTACGAAGACGCTGTGGCCAAACCGTATAAAATTAAGGTAAAAGGACGCGACGTACCAGGAACATCCGCAGCGGATTTATTGAAAGCGCAAACAATGAAGTCGTCTTCCGACTCTCGGAGGTCCATACCTGGCTCTTCATCTAGCACTCCACCAAAAGCATCATCATCTAAGAAAAAGAAGAAGGGCAGAGACAGCGGCACTTCTAGTGAAGAAGAAAGATGGCTAGATGCTATAAAATCTGGAAAACTGGAAGAAGTGAGTAAAAACACTACTAAATCTATAATATCTATAAGTACTAAGGTTTTATTCATTCTTAATTTAAATGGTTTCATTATTTCTTTCAGGTTGATGAAGAACTTAAGAAAATAAAACCAAAAGATCCAAAAATGATGACAGCCAGGCAACGGGCCATGTACGAGAGAGGTACTGATAAGGAGACCAGTCCTGGAGGAGAAGTTCTTCTAGCATTGCCTTCAGGATACAAAGAAAAAGTAATGACTGAGGAGGCCATACAGAAAGCTGCATTAAAGTCACAAAAACGTAAACAAATGGCTGATGAGAAAAGGGAAAAAGATAAAAAGAAAACCATGGACAGACTATTGAAAAAACAGGAATCTAAATTAAAGAATATGTCAAAAGGGAAGCCTACAAGGAAACTGGAACCAATGATTGTATACAAAAACAGTAATAGTGAAATCTCATTATCTTTGCCACCTGGTGTGCCATTCCCACTGGAGAAGAAATGCCCCATAGATCCTCCGAAACCCATGAGGTGTGGTGTTGATGGATGTAACAATATTAAGAAGTACAACTGTTCCAAAACTGGAATCCCTTTATGCAGTTTAGAATGTTATAAAAGAAATCTTTTAGCTATTCAATAAAATATATTTTAGGTATCCTAGATTATGTATTTGTTTGTTCTCCCCATAACATTCTATCTATTGTGATACTGGGCTATTACTGAACAATAATAGGTATCTATTCTAATCAATATCTCATTGTTCGTAAAGAATTTGTGCAAATCTAGGTTCCATTTCTCTTACTAACTCTTCATTTTTCTATTCTAACTCAAGTCAATATCACAATTGCTTTTTTTTCGAAGTTATGGATCGAAAATGCATTTAAGTATTAACTGTATGCTAGTGACTTCTCTATACCTGTAGTAGAACTTACCACTATAGTGGTGATGGTTCCACTGTATTCAATGTTTCTCCACCCTAAAAGCATTTTGTTCCTACTTGATTGGACAGATGGCTCTGTTGTCGAATAAAAGAGATAAGGAATAGGAATTCTAAATTTCTCAATTCTTTTCATAGGTTATTTACACCACCAAGTTTGTTTTATAAATGAAAATAGTTAAGGCTCATTACTATCAATGATGGACAATGATGTAGGTGTTGAAATACCTGTAAAGTATTCTCAAAATAAGGTTAAAATAAAACCATAAAGGACAGCTAAACAGTGAGCATATAATATTTTTAAGGATATAACAAGTTATAGGTGTTATAAATTTGACAATAATCATTCTACACTCAAATGGCTTCTATCATAATGAAACCAGTCTTCAAATGTTCTAGGAGGGACTCCTTTCTCAATCTCATTTTGTACAATGACCAGTACTAACTCTAATCTTCATATTCAATCACTTTAATTAGCCTCTTAAACCATCCATCATTCTTAGTTTGCTAAATCTACCTTTATAATAAGGATGAAATATGTCTTCTTGCCATTTGGTACTAATATCTTGTAAAATAAATCAATCTTTGCACTATGTATACTAATATGAGTCACAAATTGGAATAATGTGACACACATACAACATCAATATAATCTGAAAACTATCTAAAGGAATTACACTCTAATCTTTCCCTTCGCCTAACAAAGTCTCATGAAACAATCATTTCAGACTAGACTGTGATAATTATTTGCATAACTTTAATACCATTCCATTTTTTATTCTGTCTCACAATATTTACTTTTCAATTTACTACTATTACATTAGCTATATAATTTGGCAAACTCATACACACCATGAATTACTAAGATAAAGAGTTAAGAATTTGTATTTAGTATCACTTCTACCGATTGAAGATTTTCTATACCACATATTAATGTTTTATTTTAGAATATTTACAATAAAACATGAAGTATAATGGCAATTGGTGGCAAATATCATAATAGTGCAATGCAGTAATCTATTATATCATATTAATTATATTTGAATATTGAATTCAGACACCAATTATTTTATTTCTAGAATCAACTACAATTTGAGTTCTACTAATCCCCTAATGGGCAATAAGAATAATTCTTAACAACATAAATTGGTATTAAATTATGAGCTTCATCCACTTAAGATGTTTCAGGAACAAGTTTCTAATACTAGACAACATTGATTTGGCAAATCACTTGAGCTGTGTAAGTCGTGTGATAAATATAAGCGTAAAATTACATTAGAATTATGAAATAGATGTACTGCAAAGCTTGTACACATTGTTTCACATACAATCTTAGATAGAACATTACACTATTTTACACTTTTATAACAACACATCATGCAACATTTAATAATGTACATTTCCTAGTCTCAAGACATTCAACCATACTTCTGTCACTAACGGCTTGTGATGTTGCATATATGACAAATGCATTCTTTTCTTTGCATCCCATTTACTACATCTAAATTTACACATCAACAACAAATACTGTAGAATTTACCAAATACATTTATGAATCGTATACTAGACACCAATTAATATTTTATGACACTACCACATTTGTACCAGATGAATATAAGATATGTAGTAGTCCTGCATCATACATAACACTTTTAACGTCATGTTTCTTCTAATCAACTTCTGGTAGAATTTACTCACTACACACAGAATAGACACAGACACATAGTAATAGAAGAAAGTTGTCCATAGATCTGACTATAATCATAAATGCCTCATGCCATTTTCATTCCTCCACAATCAAGAGAGCCATGGAAAAGTGGTCAAACTGACCATTGAAGGACACAGCTCAGTAAAGTCTACAGACCAAAGCAAGGCAGCCAGCAAAATGGCAACAAGAAGCCAGCCTGGTATCAGACATTAGTCCGTTTCGAGCTTCGAAGGCGCGCCAAGCCCGACTGTAACCGCTAAGATTGATTATTCTGTTTATTTGATCTGAGTCGCGCTAATCCAGATCGCTCCTCCTCCTCATCGCTAGTGCAGGACAGTCCACCGACAGCGCCACGTGATGAAGTTGCTTGAATTAAATCTTGATCGGGTCCATTTCTGCTCTCATACAGTAAAATTCCCAAAGTTTCTTCGTATATCCTAGCTTCAGGGAATTCAACTTTAGTGTGTTTCTTGTCAGTAGCATACACAATGGATGTACAGCAGACTTCTGCACACTTTTTGCCATGTCCAAAGAATGACCAGCAGCAAATCTCATTTGAGCCAATCACATCCTTTATGAATAATACACGGCCACTGAAGCGCAGTGAAAGCTTGTCAAACAGCTCGATGTTCTTCAGTAAATTGTCATCAGATGTACTTGTGTATGAATATTTGTTGTTATGTCGGTTTATCAAGAGCTTGACAACAGGCTGAAAAATTTATAAAAAGAAAAGTTAATCAGTTAATTAAAAACATACCAGTTAAAGAAAAAATTAACAATAAAATAAACACAGTTTAGATACCTTAGAAGTTGACATTATCAGCAATTGTTCTTCCTTGTGTGAAGTGATCAAAGGAACTCGGCAAATAGGTTCAGCTTCTCTTTCTTTTTTGGCCAATGCCTGTTGACAAGACTCAGTCAATTCTTCAATCAAAAAGTACTTGGCTTCTGCCAACAGTTCCATGATTTCACGGTAACTATCCGGCAGAGCAACAGTACCATCACGAAGATAGTTCAGTATGGTGCCAAAGTGTTTACCACATCGATCAATGAGTATCCAGCCTGCAGAAGTAAAAAACTAAATGAGTTAATTTCATAACTATATTATTTTCTCTAAACAGTCCATGCGCACAGATAAATATATGATAACAACATTAAATAGAACAAACTACGCATACCTTCCGAATCTGTTAGTACTTCCATCCGGCCACTGAACATCGTTCTCAACATGTTATCACTCTTTGTCAGTGTACCGATAGTTGTATAGAACAGTGTACCACCCACATTTAGCTTCACATATTGCGATGGACTGCCTTTTATCAATGTTTTGTGGTCGCCCGACATTTTAGCAACCAAAAAATAGGCTTGACGATGTTCGAATACAATACGAGTTATGCGTAATAACGACGACTCGTATTGTAATTTGATCGAAATAATGATGTATTATTTCGTTTTAAACATAAATTTCCACTTTTTCACTACATAGTCATTATGATATTCAGTGAGCTGATAAAATAAAAATTTATTTTACCAAACCAACACCTAAATCCCGTAGGTAATTATCTATAATCATTCATAGAGATTATAGAATCCCACAGACAGAAAATAACAAAAACAAAGGGAAACCTATTTCTGGTTAATGGTTACTATTCATGACAACTCTACTTTCAATGTAAGAATTTTTAGTCGAGTGACACAATGTTATTTTGAGCTTAGTTTTAGGCAATAATTACTTCATTATTTTGTACTTGTACATAGTTGACAGTCACTATTAAAAACGAAATGGTTAATGATTGAGCTTTGTCTTATTACTTTACTCTGTAGTTTGGTCTTTGGGTCTTTTATCTGATTCTCTTGAATCATTTCTAATCTAACAATTCTTACAGCTGACTTTTCCTTATCTTTTAGTATAGTATTATCTTTTAGTATTTGAATTAGTTATGTATGTTAGTATTGCGGAAAAGTAAATAGCATTAAAATCTCAGTAGGAAAATAATTATCTGATATGCCACGTACTTTTTAAGATTTCTTAGTAATTTGTCTTATAAATTTCAGGTAACTTATTTCCTGACAATAAAACAAATAATAATTTTAACATCACGTTTATATTTCTCCATAGAGGCAAGATAGATGTACCTTGTTGCACTTTTTTAATAATAATCTTTCTTGTTTAATTGGTAACATTGATACGAAATCACGATTATAATTCAAACCCCGCGGTATTCCTGGATAGTGATTGATAATACTAAATCGAAAAATATATTACGATTATACATTAGAACAACCATTGTTTTCAGATATTTGGCAAGTTTGAATCTATTGTTTCGTTTTTTAGGTTTACTGACATGTAAAATGTTCTATTTCTTCGACGGCGACCAAATCTTTGTGCATCTTCAAACGTTTCCGGCAGTTTAGCATTCAAAGTTTCAGGTAAAAAGAAAGACGTTAAAATTCCACCAAATATTGTCGCAAATATAAGAATGGCATTTTGGTAATGAGAACTATACCGACGACCCTGAAAAAAACATTTACATAAGTATTATCATTTCCACCACTTGTAAAACTTGGAAAGTAATCAGTTAGGTATCCAACAATAGGAGGCATGTTGGTAGGATGATTGGTAATTCAGCATGCCAGTGGCAACATACTAAATGCTTAGTAAATACCTTCCTACTTACAACTAATTTTGTTTGAATTTCATTAAAATATAGACCTCCGCGTTTACTTATTATTGTAATAGTTTAAAAGCAAAATGATTTAAACAATGGAACATACCAGATACAAGATATAAGGCGCTATCGCACCCGCTCCACCACTCACAACATTTCCTAATGACATTCCTGTTTGTCTTAGACACGTTGGATAAAGTTCCATATTGAACAAATTTATTATATAGTATGACACTGTTATCGTCAATCTGTTTATAAAAACTAATGAACTTCCCAACCATTGACTGTTTAACCAATCTGCAACATCTGGAAATAATTAAAACGCTATTACGCTTATCAAATTACTATTCTTAGTATTCAGTATATATCTTATTCCTACTAGCTTTATTTAAATAGGTAGGATTATATTGTACTTGATACTTACATATTTCACGGAAACCGTAAAAAATCCAAATAGATGCGGTTATGGCTGTCGAAATAATCCCTGTATATCGTCGACCAATATTATTTGCAAGCCATGATGCTATAAAGAACCCAGGTATCTCAGCTAAAGACTGCCAAGCAAAGTCCAAAAATGGGTTCCCATTAGACTTTTCTGCTGAACTCAATAACACCACAGTGTAGTTGATTGAAACGCAGACCCTAAAGAAAACAAAAGACAAAGTATTATTATTATGGGCACAGTCATAACTAATTAATACATAACTAATTTGATTGCACGGTTGGTGCCGTGGCTGGGCAACCAGCTAGGTGACTCTTTAAGGTATCCACAAATTGTTGATTCTGGTCTGGGTTTGATGTATATTCACACATCTTGTATGTTTGGAAACGCACCCACGACCCATGACACAGTAGAAAAGCCTAGTGTGGGGCCAAGTTTTTAAAAAACAAAGAAATAAAAAAAATGCTTTAGAAAGCATGCATTTCATTGGATACGATATTTTGGTTTAATTTCTTTCTTATCGACATAAAGATTTATTTTCCCATGGGGTCGTCGTCGATGTCAATGTGAGGAGAATATAAATTCTACACAAAATGACACTAGAGTTAAAGCTATTTTATAGCAATAATAGAAGCACAGACCCATAAGTATCCAAAGTTTAAAACATGACTAAGTACTTACCACAAAAACAATTGCAATATAGTGTTAGTAGCTAAGCGCCAACCAGAAAATAATGCTAACGGACCTAAGACCTCCGTTTCATTAGCCTCAGCTACTCCGCTCGTAAGGATTTCTTCCTCTGTAGCAGAACTAAGTTTAGTTTTATTTACTTTGGCTATACGCTTAAGACTTTTAACGCAACCTTTCGTTTTTCTATTTACCCAAAGCCACTGTGGTGACTCAATTAATTGCCTGAAATTATGAGACTTGATTTTAATGTTTATAAAACATAAAATATTTTGAGTCACAATTTGGATAAAAAAATATTAGGTACCAAGAAAGTAATAAATAAGGTATCTGTGTTGCGGTGGTGACAATCATAAAAGGTTTCCAATTCCTTAGCCACAAGTAAAATAAAGGCATTAGACACATTCCGAGACTCATAGATATTAGTCTCAATTTAGCGACGCTTGCTCGTCGTTTAGGAGAAGATATTTCCAAAGATACGATGGCCGTACTCTGCGTAGCCGACCACGATGGCAGAGAAGCTATGATACATCCAATAGTGAATAGAACAAATGAAGAACTGGCCAATATTGACACAAAACGGCCGACTACTAGCATAGCCAACGAAATAATGTATGTGAGTCGACGCCCGTATCTGAAAATAAATAAAACAAAAGCATGAATTAACTTATCAGTAGTAAAACATTTTATCGATTTTTTCAAATTTTGTCTATTCATTCGTTACTCACACGTCTCCATACCATCCAAAGATAAAAGATCCTATAATTTCCCCAATTTTGCTATAAGCAAAAACATTTGCTACATTTATGTCATTGCCACAAACCCAATTATTTTCAGATGGGATAGTTGTTTCAAACCAGGTCTGGTCGTATTCGAAAATATCACATTCTGAAAATAAAATTTAATTGATAGCATAATTATCTAATTTTTAATGAAAGTTAAATCGCTAAAACAACATAGTTAATCAATTATAAGGATACTTACATTACCTTTAGTTTTATTCAACTCTTGGTTAGTGTAAATCAAACAGTCACTAAATTTCGTTGCTCCGACAGCATCTTCCACACTGCTGGATAACACAATTGAGTAATAAATTAAAAATAACTCAACACTAATTTATATTGTATATTACTCAATATTTTACAACCTCATTAATAGATAAAGAATGATATTCATGCTTACGTAGGAATGTATTTCGACTTCCAGTAATATTCAGTCACATTCGTAGGTTTTTGAGGTAGTTTGCATATATGTGGGGTAATCGTTAGCGCTAAAATTATATTATTATATGCCATTGACCACAATCCAGAAAGCAACACATTATAAAAAATATCAAAAGTTATTTGAAATTTCCCTTCTTGACCTACTTCAGATATCGCGCGTTCGTACAAAGAATCCATCCTACCGCTATCACTCTCCTAACACGAATGTACATAAACCACCGTCGTGTTTACATTATAATAGGAGATAAAATATCGATACATAATATATTACTGGCTTATTACTACATTAATGTTATCTAACAGACAATTTGTTTACTTATCGCCACTCCGTTATTGGAAGACGAATACTGTGAAGACAAACAAATATCAAATCATATGAAATCAGGACGCGGACTACTATGTTACAGACAAATACATTTGGGATTCTAAGTCTTAATATTACGCGATAAAAATTATTCAAATCTATTTTGACCCTGTTGGTTCAACAGGGACAAACAGTCAATACGGGTTCAGTTCCCGGATTAACAAATTATTGCCGTACTATCATTTAGCGATGGTTGGTAATAATTTATTACGTATCAGGCTCAAGTCAGGTCTTAAAAACATCTTAAGTAAAAGGTAATAAGAGCTTTGTATTGAAGGTCAAGATTCACTTTGCGTCGCAGGTCGCAGAGCCAACGGAATAAGTAAATAGTAAAAGTTAGGTTTCTTTTGTTTATATAAATCTAATCTTCATTAGCAATCAGTTATAAAAATTCACTAACTTCACGGTGAAAGACATATTTGGAGTCTTGATGTAGATAGTGTAGTAAAAGTTATGATTCTGTTTAAAATTTTAAAATTAATAATTAATCTTCATAAGACAAAATCTACATCTATGTATAGGAGTCATAGAATGATTTTTGTAGGATATATGATAAAGTTTCATAATTCCGTTGTTAATAATGCTTCATTATATCAAAAATGGGATGTGCTAAGTATTTACTCATTAATAGTAATACTACAAAATCGACTAAATTTATCAAAATTAAATGTCAGAATGAGCTTGGTTTAAGGGTGAAATATTATTGTAATATGGCAGCCCCGTGTTCGGCGGTTGATTGACTCGGGTTAGCTTGCCGCCTGCGCGTTTTTCGGAGGTTTTCGCGCCTCAATTATTTATTTTATGTAATTAGAACTCATGTTTAGAACATTCCAACATGGGTGCATATTTGTCTGAACCTGTTACTGAAAAAGTGTCGAGCGATGAAGCCAACGATAAACTTGAGTGCGGCGCAAGCTCCATGCAGGGATGGCGTGTCAATCAAGAGGTACTATATTGTTTCGTTCAATAAAAGATAAATCAGTATTCCAAACTGCATAAGATTATCCATATATCCATCACACTCACAATCTCTTGCGATCGTTTATCATTAAAGGCGTATTTCTAACACTAGGAGTCGCCGATAGTGGTTAGCGCTGTTAGATTTAGCTAGGCGTTTGACTATGTCCAATGTCCAAAGCACGATCTTTCTAGCGAGATTGTTCATGTTTATGCAATTAAGATCTATCTACGAGTTGATTAAAGTGTATCATCACGAAAATGCGCTATTAAAGTTACTAAGCAATACGTACATATATTTGTATTCACTAACCTTTATCTCTTGTATCCGGTATTACTAGGCGTACTAGATTAATATTAGCAGTGCTGATGTGATAGTAATAATATGTTTTATATTTCTAGGATGCACACAACACAATCTTAGAGTATGATTCAAACACATCATTATTTGCTGTGTATGATGGCCATGGAGGAGCTGAAGTTGCCACTTATTGTTCACAAAATCTGCCAAACTTCATCAAAAACACAGATGCATATAAAAGTGGAGATCTCACAAAAGCTTTGGAAGATGCCTTCCTCGATTTTGATGCTACTATTGCCACTAAGGAAGTCATGGATATACTGAAAGAATTGGCTGGTAAGAAACACATTACCATATTTATAAGTTGCTTTTCATTCAATAATGAATATTTAAAGAATACATTTTCGAAAATAGAAATCACAGAATCGACCCTGCAGATAACCTATAACAGTAAATTGTGATTTATTGTTATAAAAAAATGGAGGTTATATTAACAAAATTTTAGTTTGACAACATACAGTATTTGTTATAGTATGTGCGATGATGTATTTATAATCATTTAAATATTTATATTAACAAAAGTAGGCACTCGTGAAAATACATGCTTATAAGGACAATGTGGCAGAGGTCAAATGTTTGCATAATGACTTAGAATTACTGTACAATATTATTCAGAGAATGAAAGATTTCTTAATTTTCTTTTCAAAAATGTACTGACAGTGACCACATTAAAATATCACTGGGCGCACCACATAATCCGTAATTATAGCATTAGTTTCAAAGAGCGCCATGATGTAAAGGTGCTTTCAATGTCAAACTTCTATTGTAAATATGTATTAACATAATATAGAATGTGATTTTATTGGTTTTATATATTATGCACTTTATTCTTATTTCTTTACATTTTGTCTTTTTATCTGTATATTTATGTTTTTTAACAAAAAGTTACTCGACAGTGGTTGTCTTGTAATCCATAAATAATTTGTCTAATCTGACATTCCTATCACTGTTGATTATATCCAAAACATATATTTAATAACCACATTACATATAAAATGTATATAGAATAAAATAATCTGTTCTAGGCAGCGCTCTATAAGTAAGAAATTAGATTTCATTTCAGACTGCATTCTGTAAACAAATTATGTTGTTATAGAATTTATAGTTATTTATTGAAAGCTATTAGTCCTACTTTCTTAACTGTTTACAGCATAAATACATGCTAATTCTTTAAAAATTCTAATCCCAACTACATGCAGTAATTGGATGTTTACTTTCTGTTTCTTTATTATTATTTTCATTTTATTTTAAATTGTTTTAAATGCAATTATTATAGGTGAAATAAATCCTCCAGGCCCCAGTGACAATGAGGAGGAGTCTGAGGATGACAACGTCAGCAACTTGTATCAAGAAGCCAGACTTCCATTGCAGGTACATAGTATTATTTATGCACATGTATAATACGAAAGCGAACTAACTGCCATTAAAGACATTAAAGCATTATCTACTTAAAATGTTTTTCAATAAATCTCTTAAAACTGAATAAATTTCCCACGATTAATAATCTAATATACATTATGTTAAATGTAGTGAATTAACATTATTAACTATCAAGTCAAGAATCACAAAAAATAGTATCTTGCTATTTGATGTACCATTAGCTTTTACTATACTTATTTAAACTACTCTTTCCTTTTACAGGAAGTATTAGCAAAGTATGAGAATAAACTGAGCAGTCTTCATCGGGCACGTCTCGGTGACACCGCCACACCTTTGTCACCCTGTCTCCGTGCAAAGAAGAACACGGATGAAGCTGGCAGCTCAGGTAAATATCATTTCATACAACTTCATTTATGGGTCTTAAATGCAACTACAGTTTAGTGAATTGTTTGTGTGTGCAAATGTAATGTAATGTAGTTTTAAATTATTTAAATGTCTTCATAAAAATTCTAGGTGCCGGTGGTTCAGGCACAAGTTCATCATTTGCTGCTGGCTCAAGTTCAGAACAGCCCAGTGCTGAAGCATCATCAAGCAAAAATGGCATATCGTCAGTAAAAGAGGTCGCTGATGAAGACACAGGAGGAGTCTCCTCAACAAACAATGAAGAAGATAAAGAAGTAAATGGAGAAGTGAGTTTATGTTTTAAGTATGTTTAAAAATATTTACGATATTATTTTGATTGTACCTAATTAATTTCTAAATGTTTACAGGTGTCCACTAGCGAGCCTGACGAAAAAGCGAAAGAGTCCGTTGCAATGGAGGTAGACAAATCCAATGCTACTACTGCACCAGACAGCTCTGAAGACAATTGCCTTCAGCCAGAACAAAGTGCAGATGCCAAGAGCTCACCAGCTAAAGGCAGTGGCTCTTCTGATGCCTGTAATGGAGAAGTAACAGATTCGAAGCAGGTTGATGGTGAGGAAAGTAACATCACGTCATCCAATGGGTCAACCACACCATCGAAGGGAAAAGCGAAAGGTTTGTTCACTCTCTTAAATATTTTAAAATTTTGCCCAGTTAGAGATTGTCCTCAGATTGATTAGCTATTCTTTACTTTCAAACAAAGCTGCAGCAGTCTCAAGTTCAGACGTCAAAGCGCCCAAAGATCCGAAAAGGAGACGCGCCGCTGCAGCCGTTTACGAGTCCTTACTACGTCAGGCTGCCGAAGAAGATGATGACGATAGCGACTCAAATGATGAAACCTTCGAAGGAGGAGAGATCAACTCATCAGATGAAGAAAATGTTAATGGTGTTGAGGAGTCATCAAACGACGGTGAGCACTATCCGAGACTACGTGAGGCATGATGATCTGAGCAGTTGTTAGGCAGAGCTAATGTTTTACATCTTATTTTGAATAGTAAATATTTAGAACTGCCATTGTAACCCAATAATTTGCAGGAGATGGCGAAGAGGAAGAAGATGATGAATTGGAGGCTGAATCAAGTGATGACGATGGAGAGGAAGATATCTCTATGAATGAAGAACCAGGAAATGACAGTGGCTGCACAGCTGTGGTAGCACTGCTACGGGGTAAGTATTATCTGTAATCTGAAACTCAGTATGCTACGTTATGATTAATTATCTAATAAACATACTTTCTCTCTGTTTATAGGGAAAGAATTATTTGTGGCAAATGCTGGTGACTCGCGTTGCATCATTTGCAGAGAGGGGAAGGCGATTGATATGTCAATAGACCACAAGCCAGAGGATGCCCCAGAATTAGAAAGGATCACCAAAGCTGGTGGAAAAGTTTCGAATGACGGACGCATTAATGGCGGCCTAAATTTATCTCGTGCCATCGGAGACCACTCATACAAACAAAACAAAGATTTGGGTGCCAAGGAACAGATGATAACAGCGCTGCCTGATGTAAAAACATTAACAATTGATCCAGAGAAGGATCAGTTCATGGTGCTGGCTTGTGATGGTATATGGAACTTCATGTCTAGTCAAGATGTCTGTGACTTTATTTTGCCGAGGTTGGCCGAAGGTCGCGAGAGGCTGTCACAGATTTGTGAAGAGGTTAGTAACATTTGTGGTAGTGAATTAACATTTTGAAGTTTCTGTTGATTAAAGTATCTAATATTGTGTTATCTTTATCTTCACAGATGTTCGACCATTGCTTGGCGCCGAGCACGATGGGCGATGGTACTGGGTGTGACAATATGACAGCTATTATTGTACGATTCAAAGACGGAGTAATCAGTGACGTAGCGCAGCACACGAGTCAGGCTGAGGGACCTAAGAAACGCGCCGCTGAGGAAGAGCACAATGAAGAGGAGCAACAGGAATCAAAAAGGCAAAAGGTCGATGATACCCTCTCAAGTTCAGTAGTGACTTCGAGTGTCTAAAAACCTTCAAACATTATAGACAAAAGTGTTCAAACCACGCATAGTATTGTGAAATGTATGGTGAAGACTTTGTTATTTGAATTATGATTAACAGACAGGTCATGTCACACAAGGGTTCATCGAGCATATACCTACTTATTAATTGGTAATAATTTATCATTTATATTGAGCAATGTTTTGCTTCAAATCTCCCTGGTTTTTGATGAAAAATGTGTAATGTAAACGTTTTGAATCATATGTGTTGGTATTGCCTTATGAGGGTACCATGTGGCCCAATATTTACAAGTCGCCAGTGTTTTTAGAAATAGTTGTGTTGGAGTAACTCATTTTGTAGACAAGTAGAAATACAGACGTAGCAAATAATAAAAATATGCATGCACATAGCAACATTGCCGTAGTAATGTCAGCAACAGATATAAACGTACATAAGTCGACAACATCTCATCACGACACTTGAAAGGATTACAAGCATTTATATATTGAATGGTAGGTAGTTTGTTGCAATTAAATGTGATTGAAATGCAAACTTACTACAATTGTACGACATTTTTTAAAGTTTGATAATATTACAAATGGTAATTGTGTATTTTCAATATTTGATATGGCACATTGTAGTAAGTTTACAGTTTAGAGGGAGAGAATTAATGATAAATTCCAGAACTGATTGTTGACGATAGCAACTAGTAAGTAAGCTAAGCTGTAAGTGTAAGTTACAGAATATAATGTGTATGATCTAATTATTTTGAATCCCACTTTAATGTATTACAGAGTAAATAATTCATTTAGTTGCTAGAACTGGCTTCTTTGTTATTTTGAAACTATTGGATTGTCTTGTTTCTCTAGTACATTTTTTTTAAAAGGCAGCAGAATTTGTGCCCCTTTATTTATTCATTTTCATCATTTTGTAAAACGACAGTAATAGCGGCGTGATTAAAATGTGAATTAATAAAATATAAGCTGACTAATAAAATAATCCAAAATTGTCTAATGAAGTCTTAAATATTGACTTGATGTTTCTAGTTAAGGCCAGGAACACAATTTGGACGTATTTGGTGTTTGGTAAATCTAAAATTATGACATTGGCATGTTCCTACATAAAATTAAATGTTAATTGACTTTGGAATCAAGGGAATGTATCTATATTTCAATTATTTATCTGTGTTACTCTGTAGTAATAAGTAGTTATATTTTTGTAATCACAGGTATTGTAAAATAAACTTAATTCCTACTTATTTCATGGTTAAGTTGAAATAGTTTTCCAAATTGTGAATTACTTATTGGTAGAAAAATTAATTTATTCAAACAATTTCAAGACAATTCGGTTATTCCTTCAACGATTATGATTTACAGTTTGACTACTGTGTTATTACATGTGTGTTTCAGTGAAAATTACATTTTTACAGACTGAAGTATGGTTTTATTTTAAATTTTATAAACAGTTGTGTTGGATAAACCATAAATTAGCGGCACATGGTTGCTGCAATGGAATTTGTTTTGGAAGGCGGCAGTTCAGTTCATATTCAAAATTAAATTATTGTAGAAATGAGTCTGTTGAAAAGACAAATAGCAATAATCAATTATAATCTCTTTTTTATTATTTTAAAAATATCTACGATAGTTTAAACTGTAATTTGGAACTAATTTAGTATATTTTTTTAAATAAACTTAAACAATACATTGGTTAACCCAAACATGACGACACACACTTAAAAGCTCGACGAAAATACTAATCTACACAATATTTTTATCTGATTTGAGTCAAGTATTCAATAGTTTCCATCTGTGTTGCTTCTAAAATCTGAAGAGCATCATATTCACTATCCAATTGTTCTAATATCATGGATTTGTCATTAATTTCAGCCTGGAACAAAAATATTCATTCAAAATCTGCATTCCTAACAATAACTTTATATAATTTCGCCAATACTCGGTACGGTACAACTTACTTGTAATTTAGCTTGTTCAGCTTCGCGTTCTTTGGATATAGACTTCAAAAGATTCATGGAACCAATAGCAGCCATTTTTTTTTTCTCCACGTTATCTCCAAGTTCCTTCAGCACCTCTAGAAGAGTGTTGATTATCTTCCCGAAATCTTGAATCTCTGTAAAGGTAATGAATATTGAATATAATACCTCTATAGTACTCGCCCAAGGCACCTATAAGCCTAAGCAGCAGAGTGATTCGATCGTAACGGGTAAGTCGGGTAGGTAAGTAGGTCACTTCATTGTGTTAATGTTAGATTAAAGCAAACCCTCTTAGGTGTTCACGACTCATGACCCTCGGTAATGCAATGAATGACTAATACGAAACGTGGAGAAGGAAGTTGCACAGTGGTGACTAACTTGTGTCATAATCCTTGCATGTATCCTTCAGATCCTCTGTTTCTTTGAGTACATTGTTTTCTATGACTCTGATTTTGTTAATGTCATCGTAATATAAATGAACTTTTTGTAGTTCTTCAGCCATTATAAATTTGCTTCATAAAACTTAGAAATAGTGAGAATTTAGATATAAATACCTAGTTGTTTTGAAACCGTTGCTTGGCAACGTAAATAAAAAGAAGTTTTATACGCTTTGAACATGGCATGAAATAAAAAAAGAAAACAAATGGACCTCGTGGGAAAATTGAATTGAAATGAATGTAAATCTACGCAACTAAATACATACGCGTAAGTGCTTGTATTATAACGATATTTTGTGATTGCAAAGGCAAGGATTAAATTACGAAGAGTCAGAGCTATATTTGTGGAGTAACTTGCATTTGTAAGAAGTATTATTTATTAATTAAATGATTCATTTATGTAGATCCAATATAGAAACCAAATCAAAGAGTAGAAGTATATGAGAAGACTCAACTCATGTAATGCGCATCCGCGAGTCCTACCAATTCTTGACAATTGGTAGAATTTCTGGTAATAATTATTCTTTAAACACTTTCAACATTATTATTAAATACTTTGACAATGACAACTGTCACTGCCCGTTGAAGTTTATTTCCAAATTGTTTTCTTTTATAATAGAAAATTGAACTTTATGTCTGTGGAGTAGAATTCATATTAGAAGTCATAAAATTATGGTTCTAAATCAGTGTATTTTTGTTGTGTAAAGATTGTTATTCATTGTTCGAGAATTTTGTAAAATAATCTAAACTTTACCTCAATGTTGTGATAAATATGGAGGGGTTGACACAGAATGAGAAGATTATATGGTCGTGTTGGAAAGAAAAGTCTCCGAGAGATGTGGTCAGGGAGGCGGCTGCGAAGGGTACTCATATCGAACTGGCGATCACCTATCTCAAGGAGAAAAATGGATGGAATGATGCCACTGCCAGGGAATGGTTTCTGGCCGAGGTGAATAACCTTTTTATCGCTGTAACAATCCGAAAATAATAGTAAACGCCCACATGAAATAGTTTTCAATTAGAAGTTTAAAAATTTTTAAAATTCCCTTTGTGAGTTTTCTATTGAACAATACCTATGATAACATTGAGAATGTTTACACAACTGTTCTAGGTGAAAGCATGGACTGTGCAGCTGTTATTGAGAAAACAGATATTTAAAGTTCTGCATATTTTGAACAAGGTTAAAATAAGTCCAGAACTACATCTGATGACCTTAGCTCGGGACTCTGCGCAGATTGAGTACAGAGATTTCATTGTAGAACATCTTGAGAAGTTGTCCAAGGATATGAGCAATGAAACAAAAGAGGAATGGCTTCATTTTAAAAGACATTGGAATCTTCTCCGTTATTTAGAAAAAGCATTTGAGAGTGAAGGAACTTTCAAACAAAACAAAGTTTTTGGTATAGGAAAAGACCGCATAGTTGTCAATGAAAGTGAGATCAAGGCTCTGACTATAGATAAAATAGAAAAGTATCCACAACAATGGAAAAGTAAAATTGCTACGGCATTGTTCTTTAATTCATTTGGTAAGTTTAAGATTCCACTTTTACAGATATTATACTGCAATCTCAATTGGAAATGGTCTAAAAACTATTTTTATTCTTTTCTCTTTATACCCTACAAATTCTAAGTCAGTAAGGCACTTTTTTACCATATTTATAGCACATTTATTAGGTGTTGCCTCTGGCTAAAAATAAATATTTACCTACCATACTATACACTGATCACTGATAAAGCAAACCTTTTGTAAAAAGCCCTTATCATGAGTGAACATTTCAAAATGTTCAGTATGTTTACATAAATAGCCTTCAGTATTGTACTAGCATAGCATTATAAATTATGACCTTCATTCTTTTAATAGGAGTTAAAAACCATAAAATATAAACTAATTATGTGAAAAATTTTTAAACTTACTATATATTTAATGGGAGTGTTCACTGTTCACATACTTGGCCAAAAGTTATACATATGTGGTCCATACATCTCTGCAACATATATATATATATGTATTAATTTCGTTTTCACACTCAAATTCTTGGTTGCTTCTTGCACCCACCATAATTATACTCTTCTCTCCAATACCCTAAGATCAGACTGGAAGATTAAGTCAATCTTATGTATAGTTGTGCATGAAGCAAATAGAAATAAATAGTTAAATATATTTTAATATAGTGCAGTTCTCTGCCTATTGCTTTAAATATTTAAAAGCATTATGTTCTATTATTTTGAGCAATGCTTTATAAACTACTAGTGACCCGCCCCGCCTTTACACGGGTGCAATATGCATGTATTATACATATAAACCTTCTTTCAGAATCACCCTATCTTTCAAAAAAACCACATTAAAATCTGTTGCATGGTTTTAAAGATCTAAGCATACATAGGGACAGACAGACGGCGGATAGCGACTTTGTTTTATTCTATGTAGTGATAATGCGTTTTATATACTTTTACTTTATTCTAGCTTTTACCCGCGGCTTCGCTCGCGTCACAAAAGGATAAAAAGTAGCATATGTGACATATACCAGTACATACAGCGCCATCTATACCAATACTTTTGTTTTCCCTCGGGAATATCAAATTTTTTCGGGATAAAAAGTACCCTATTATTTAATCCAGACTACTACCTTTACGTCTGCAAAAATCCAAAGCAATCGGTTTAGTAGTTACGGCGTGAAGTCGGAACAAACAAACTCACTTTCCGATTTATAATATTAAGTAAAGATTCATAAACTTATATAATGTATAGCCCATTTAGTTAGGTCAATATTTTAAGGCACTATGATAACAAATTGCCTACACATAAATAAATAAATAGATTATGCAAACATAGTTTATTCATTGATGCTAATGTCCGTTATTTATTACTTTCGATAATATTATATTATTTGAGATTGATACATAAATTATATGTTACACTGTTGCATTAAGTGATTAAGTGTAGTATACTTTGATTTTATGTAAGTTCAGGCCAAGGTATTTGGTGTTAGAAGTAAAGATTGGTCCAGTACAGAGCAGAGCAGTAGCTGTTGTTATTCCTTGCTTGCCTGCATGTAACTGGGCTCGCTATACGGTTTTCAGCTTTATTCTAATGAATGTAGAATTCAAAATAAGATAACGAATGTTTCTTTTTCAGAATTCTCTTTATTAGACTTCTCAGCTCCAGTAGAAATGTGGAACTATTTGGTGGAGAACAACAAAGCCATGATCCTTGTCCGTTGGATCAATGTACAGACTTCAGAAGTAGTGCGGGACATGAACGCGCGGTACATCTTCTTCAATAACGAAGGATTCGCCAAGAAACTTCTGAATGTTGACACCGTAGGCTTTGACACACATGTCTTAGAGAGCTTAGACGAAATATTCCGTAAATGGCCAGTCACAAATGAAATGATTGAAAATGTTGCAAAAAGCAATTGTTTTGCTTACACCAAGCTATGCATTTACGACACATTGGCCTCTTACGGCATTGTGAATGAAAGTGAGAGAAATAATTTATATTTAATCATATCAAGACTAGCTCGCACACAGAACTTGAAATTAATTGACGACATCTTCACTGAATCATGCTCCACTATCAGTCGCGAGCACTTCTATGTGGAGCTAGCTAAGTATTGTGTTAAGAATAAGTTATATAAAGTACTGACGCTATGTGTAGAGGGTAATATATTAGACACTGACCTATCTGACGTCGAGCAGGAGGCAAAAGATTGCATAGAGCTCTGGTTGTTGTTTAAAAGCATCGAACAAACTTCGGACAGACAAAGCCACGTGCTGCCCGTATACAAAACCTGTGAGCAAATCGCCAATGAAAACATCGACGACTATGTTTCCTCTAATCCACATTTAGTATTAGGAATGATACTTCTAGAAGACGCTAAAAAGTTATTCGACATATTTTCCAAGGAAGACTTTTTACAGTTCAAAGACTTTAAATTGCCAAATAAATTTTACAAAGACAAGCTTCCACATTTGTATAATATTTACAAGAAATATGCGGATGCGAATCATACGTATGAATTAAAGGACGTGAATGTGTACCAGCTATTGTCTGGTTACCGCGGTCTCGATGTGTCCAAAATATTTGAATTTCAACTAGTCAACCAGAATACGAACAGTCTGCTCACTGACAAGCCAGATAGACGCAGCCTGGGGAGTCTGTTGTCAAGTGACGTAGATGTAAAGTCTGCTAGTATCAAAGCTTTGTCCCAGAGAGCTATGGAGATGCCAGATTTTGCGGATGAGAAGCTAATGAAGAAGTATGGCTATGTAGCTAAGTTGAACCATGTGTATTATTTGAAACAGTATCGCCCCTGCAATGCTAGCCAAGCGTTTGTTTCACAGCAGTATCAGACATACAACCGTTTGCAAGACAAGAGCGTAAAGAGCGCGTGCTGTGAGGCGCACGCGTTAGCACTGCAGAATTGGTTCGACGGTGCTATGACCGCTTGCACTGTGTCTTTCATAGCTATGATAGGATGCAATCCAACACGATGCAGGGTTCATATCTCTGCTGCTAAAATGATAAAGAATCACTTGATGGAGTACAGAGGGTTGTCCGAGGAAAAAGCGAATAAAACAGTCAACGAGTACATGTCGAAACTTATACAGAGTAATGATGAAGCTGCTAGGGAGATGTTGCGGTATATGGAAGAGATAACTTTGAGCCGATTGAATGAGAGGCAGAAGCGGGATGGTAAAGTGGACATGGCGCTGGTGCTGTACGAGTGTCAGACGATGGTCAAGTTCGCCACGCTTCACAACTTGCCGCTACCAGAACTGCAGTTGCGGGAATTTGTGAAGGCCAACTCCTGGTTTAACTTTCTCCTTTTCGGCGATGTGTTTCGCTACCCACTCAGTCAGATGCTCCAGTTAGCTCAGGAGTTCGAAAAGAAGTCGTATGCGGAACATTTAAAGCACATAATGCTGCATCGAACTGTTGACGAGGGTGTCGAAAAAGATAGTAAAACTAATGCAAGTAACGGACAGAGGCGAGTTTCGAGATTAAATTCCGTGGAAATTGTAAGTAGATATACTTACCTTATCAATTCAAAATAATATCATATCACTCATTCTTTACTGTAGATACGATCATCTTTTCCAAAATATACCTATTATTTATTATTTGTCCTTATAAAAGAATTATTCTTAGCGACCATTATTAATTGACTCTTCCTTTTTAAATAATTTGTTGATAATGTAGTCTAAAACTGCCATCCTTCCTAGGGTTCTGTCCTCATACAGAGTCCTAGTCCGACGCAAGTGGGCAGTTTCGAGTTCCCCTCAAGCGCGTACATGGGACGGGAGCTGTGGGAGGTGGCGGCCGCGTGTCATGGTCCGGAGGATCCACCGGCCGCCTTACTGAGGGCTGCTGACATCTGCAGAGAACCCCTATTGGTGCTTATTGCTAGTTGCTACGAGGTAAGTTGAGTTATCACATCTGTTTGTTCTTGATTGTTTTTAAAACATGTGTTGACAATCTATAAGGTTGATTTGAGGTTTTAGATTTGGACATATTTTTCTAAGGTGTCTTTGACTTGAATTCTCGCTAAAAATTACGTGAATTTTAGTGAATGAAAGTCCAGAAATTTCTAAGCCATCATGAAACTTATTTCTTATTAAGTAACTTCTTTATTCTTACAGCCAAACGCGGTAGAGATGCTTTGGCCTCAATGGATCCTCTCCTCCTTGTCTCTCAGTCCTCGTTCTCAAGGAGTGCTGCAGCAATTGATGACGCAGCAGCAAGGTGCCTCGGAGCAGTTCCAGAAAGTAGCTGAACTGTGTTTAATAGAGGGCTACGTCACCACCCTACATGAAGCTATGCTCATTTTTATGCCGGTGAGTTAATAATATTACGCAGGTTAATTATTATTTATTACTGAAGGTACCCCGGGTACGTATTATAAATGTAGTACTTTATTATCAGCACTTATGTTATTAGCTACAAAATGTAATCTATTGCCGTACCTTGGGCACGAATTCATCGAAAACTTCATGCGGGTCGAGTCAAATTCTTGGGTGTTTCTTATTATTATTATTTAATCTTCTTTCTTTATAATTTCCAGGAAAGCCCCCTAACTTTATTTACGGCCTTCCTCCACCGTTGTATTCGTCAGCACAACTTTGATTCCGAAACTACGAAACTCCTCACTAGTTTCCTACAACACGCACAACGTAAATACAGTGTTGGCGCTAGTGGCGCGCCATGGCAACTGTCCAAGGAGGCCTTACAAAAAGTTTCTGTGTCTCTGGTCAAAATTGCGCTGAGCAATAACTTAGATAGCGCGTACCTTCAAAGAGAGTTCCTCAAATGTCTAGCTGATCATCAGTTCGAAAAAGGATTTACGGGTAACTAAATACTTCTTTATAGTTTCATTTATACTTACCTATAAAGCATTAAAATTGATTTAATGAACATGCCAATTTTTTTCTTCCAGTACCATCACCAAATTTCTCAACACTATACGAAATACTCAAAATATCAATGGAAACATCCTTAGCAATAAACATATCAAAATTACTTCAAGACGATTCTCAGAAATATGTAGAAGAATGCGTCCAAATGTACACCGCTAAAAGGGACTATAACGTTGCTTTGAAAATCGCAAAGCTTTCTGGGGTACCCGTAAATAGTATTTTGATAGCAGAATGGACGCATAAATACGAGAATCTTCTTACTAGAGAAGAAATGTTAGAAGATAAGGGTATAACGTTATTTATTGCTCAATGCAGTGAAGCTTTTAAGAAGGCAACAGTTACTTTCAAGGACGCGACAGAATTCCTGGTCTCACACGTCAACAACATCACAGATACCGCACAAAAGTTCTACTCCTACCGAATCATTATGAGTTGGTTCGAAGAGAATTTAGAATATGGGAAACGACGGGAAGAAATCGAACATCTCATGTGGGATGCGTACTTCAAAAACGAGGCACCGAATACGATATTCCTGAACAGTTATCAGAGCACAATGCATTTTATAATGAACGGACAGAAAGATCCGAATATCTCGAAGAAGATCGGCCAGGCTAACGCGGAGAAACCATTTACCATGATGCTGGACGAGATAGAGATTGAATCAGATGTGAGCAATATAGAGAATGTGGTGTTATTAGAGGACCCTGAAGCTATAGATAACTGGAGAAGGGTTATGAATCAGTTGCTAGAGTTGAAACTCTTGGTTGACGCGTTTAGGTTGTCGGCCTTGTTCAAAAGTCCGCCTGAGTTCAGGTATAGGCCTCCAGCGTGTCCCGTGCAGATAGTAAGGACATGTTTGAAGCTCGCGGAAGGTTCGTGCTCGCCTTACGAACTGCCGCAAGAGTTGAGGCTGGTGATATCTTCTCCTGTACTGCAGAATAAATTGTCGAGTAAGTCTTCAAGATTAAACTAAAAATCGCGGAATACTCTCGTGAATATACTGAGAAAAGCTCTACTAGTTTCGATCCACAGAGGGTATATTCACGTGAGTAACTCGCGATTTTAGTTAATTTAGTATGTCTCACGATAGTTATTATAAAAACATATTGGACACCCTGTTGGATAACTATGTAGATTAGCCTTTAATAGTTAGAAGCTCAACGAAATATTCTTATTTTTTTTAATTACATTATTACCAAAGATTTTTATATAGCTTCACTTTCAGTATCAGGTATATCGGACGCTAGTTTCGAGGAGTTAGTGGTGATACAAGAAAAACAGGAAAATGTGCCAGAGAGTGCTCACTTAGCGGCGCGAGAGGAAGCCGACCGGCTGTCAGCACTCGATGCTTTGGCTGTCAGGAGTGGGTTGACGCTTGCTAAGCAGGTAGGATCAGTCAGTGTAGATTGTGTGATATAAAACAATGTAAAAAGAAGTTCAGTCATAGAAATTATCAGCTATCATAATGTCTATGTATAATAATGTTTATAAGTATCTTTCATACGACTAAGTTACACGAAATGGTTTAAAAAAATTTAAAACTGTGTGATGTGTCAAGCCAAGTTTATCAATACTTTACTCCACTTGGAAATTCTACACACGATCTCATGAAATAACGACTGGTCAACGAAAAGTATTATGTTGTTATACCAGCCAGTAATATACTCCAATCTTTTTATAAATATTTTTTGTAATCCGTTTTCACCTTTATTGTCTTGTCTTATTAATTTTGGAATATATGTTTAACATTATTTTGTTTCATAATAAAATCGAATATGAAATAAACAAACATTTTATTCCCAGGTTGCCAGCTACTTCCGCATAGCTCTACAAATAGGATGGGACTACACTTCAGTGTTAAAATATCAGAACCACGCTATTGACTTTATCAACTTAGTGAGTGGAAGGGCGCGGATGTCTCTTGCCAATCTGGTCTTCAAAACATTTAATATTCCTACTAAACAGGTAAGTTTTACATGTAAAGTTATTGTGAAAATACTTTTTTTGTCGCAATACCAAATTAAGTCTCGTGTTTGTATCATATACTACTACTAATTGTATTATTTATCATGACAATCTTTGGATGTATCGCCTTTCGACATTTTTTTATAAATTTCAAATTAAGGTCTTTATGATTCAAGATAAGTTTAATTTTAACATCTTACTCTTTACCAGGTCGCAGAATACCTCTGCAAAGAAATTGTAGCAGCTATAATATCGCCTCATTTAGTAAAAACATCGACATTTAGACAGAAGGAACACTTTCAATACACGCTCTGGGGCTACGCATTAAACGCAGACATTGAAATGTTCCTCAACATGCGACCAGACGCTTGCAGTCAGATCGGCAAACTGATCCTAGACCACCTCATCGCCTTCCAAAAGATTTACAAATGCTCTAATGTGTCTGGAACATCCAAACCGGATAATTTACTAGATGATAACGGACTAGATGTTGAAAATCTCATAGATGAAGAATATCAAAACGTAGAAGGTGATGAGGCAGAGTCAGTGCTGACTGAGGAGGGAACTGTGCTCTCAGCTGAAACTGAGTCAGTTTATTCAGTGTCTACTGTGTATACGGTGTATTGTAACAAGATGTCCAGAGATTGCCGAAGGAATTTGTTCGATGTGATCACTAAGAATAATGTCCATATTCGCTATGAAGTTAAGTCCAATATCAGGAAGATAACTAAAGGAGCGAAGTTGTCTACTAAACAGGTTAGTGGAAATTCGAAGTTAATTTTAGATAAAAAAAAATACATATTATGACATGAAACTTTTGAAGGAACACAAGTAGTTAATTTGCCATCCTGTTCGTATATACCTATTTCAAAAATTGCATTCACATATCCAGTTCTTCAACATATCAATTGAATAATTTGAGATAAAGAAGTTTTATCGTTTGTACAACACTATTACTACTAGAATACTATCTAGAATTTTCATTCATTGACAAAACCGACACTATAACTTAAGATTTGGTACTCAAACTCAATCCTACCATCATTTCTAACGTCATCTTACCATTTACCAGGTAAACATAATCTGCCTTGAGCTGCTAGTACTGGCACACGAGTGTTTCGCGTGCGCGTGCGACACGGAGGGCGTGGCCACCACACTGCGGTCTGCGCAGGCGCTGGCGGCGCGACTGCTCGCCTCGCGCTCATGGAGGCTCATGGTCCGGCTCCTTACTGGACTGGCACGGTACACTGAGTGCGCCTATGTGTTCCAGGTTAGTTTTAAATTGTACTAAGAATTATAAGAATAATCTAATGTACAGTGGTCAGCAGATCAATCTAGTTCTATCTTACCAATTTCTTTGTTAGATTTGTTTTAATCTTTTATCTTTTAAATATAAAGTCCATAACCCAGTGACAAAATTATTAATTAGTTGTTAGTTAATATGTGAAGGTCACATTGCGGGTTAATGGCGCCTTCGCAGATAGATAAACAATCATAAGCACTGATCATGACCTGACACGGATTGTTGAATAATAATAATAATGATCTTAAATAATACGTTAATTCAGGTTGCATTTTCATACCTTGCACTCGACGAGGAAGGCTTCAGAAAAATGTTTGGAGATCTCCTGAATTTCCTACGAGAAATTGGACAAAACTGGATATAATTTATCTTACCCCTATAAAATTCACAGGCATTACGAGACAACCATCAATTCGAGTTCCTACTAGGTCAGTTTGACTATATGTTGGGACAACAAGTGGACAAGATAGCGGAATTCAAACAAGGTCTACTGGACTTCTTGAAGACACACTGTCCAGGAGATACGGACACTTATATCATGGTAGCTTTACACTTCAATATGTATGCTGAGGCCGCAAATGTCAAGAGGAAACAGGCATTGAATCTTATTGATGATTTGGAGAAGATGGCGTTGGACTCGGCTAAGGTACGTGTTTTATGGTAGATTGGACTATTATTTAATTTTATCAATAGTCTTTAAAGAGGTTTTCTGAGTGCTCTACTAGACTAATTTTGGATTAAGATATTAATTACTACATAGTCCCAAACCCAGTCTAAGTTTAAAAACATAATTTTTCTTGCAAACAGTAATTGTTTTGAATAACTAAATGAAGCCATGTTTCACTAATTATTTTGATGTTTTAGCACATAACAAATAACTTCACATTTTAATATGCAGTCGCATTGGGGCGTAATATTTCTCACCTGTTAACATTTTATGCAATTTTTTCAACAGGCAACATCTAAAAAACCGTTTCAACCACCAACATGGTTGCAAATTCACGACTCTGTGCCAACTAGGTCTCTCTTAGACACCGCTTTGAACCATTGTACCGATGCAGCCGAGTTATACTTGCAAGGTGGTTGTACTGGGTTTGCGGGAGAAATGGCGTCGCTTGCCCAGCAAATTGCGTTGCAAATATCTTTGCTAAATGCATCGCCTACCAGACTCATATTGAACAGAAGTACTGAGCAAATGTATAAACTTGTCAGCGAGTATTTGAGGTGAGTCTATCTTTATATATATAATTCTGCTGTATATGTGTATGTTATTAAACTCCTCCTAAACGGCTTGGCCGATTTAATTGAATTTTTCTGTTCGCGTTTGAGTGGCACCCTGGATGTTTTAGATTCACAAATCAGCTCGGCAGATCGCGCTGCCCATGTTAGTTATCCTAAACGGCTGAACTAATTTGAATGAAGTTTTGTTTATACATTCAAGTGGATATGCAGGACAACGTCTGTCGGGTCCGCTAGTGTTGATATAAATTAAAATTAGTAGGTGAACTGGGTCACAAAACTTTGGAACGACGTTATTGGATTTCATTTAGGAAATAATTTGATAAAATTAGTATGAATGTTAAGAATAGCCTATCTATATTTTTAGATACTTAAAATGTAGCAGGTGCCAGGCTGTACATTCTGACTGTCATTCTATTCATCTTCTCTCTATCAGGCGTCTATTGAAGGGGCACATGATTTCTTATTAGCAAATTTTGCCTTAGCAGTTTTTCCAGTACTGTTATATAATAAGATATTGTAATTAAAAGGAAATACCTAACAATGACAACTATTCCTCTTTCCAGTTTCATGGAAGGTCTAGTCCTACTGGCTGGTCGTGGCGGCGAGGCGTGGCGTGAGCTCGCGTATCGGCGTACACTGACCAACGACCAGGCGTACTTGAGAGATATGGCCATGTACAGGCCTGATGTCGCACATGATTTCTTAAATAGGTAAGTTTTGGATTTATTTTTTTGTGATGTGTCCATGGGTATAACGGGTTTGGTTTGTGTATATAAGTTGTGTAATACCTGTAGTTTTTCTTTGACAATTAATTCGATGTTTTGATTGTACTTAATAGACCTAAATACATTAGTATTTTACGAATTAATCTTGTAAGGTTATGTACGAAACACAAGAAGTATACTTACATCCTTTTTTCATTAGACGTGATATAACTTCTAAACTAAATTGCTATAGGAGACAGCCTTTTGACAAATATCGATCATAAATCCAAATTCCATTCATATTGTAACTGATTTTTTTTTAAACCAAATAATGATTATGTTCAAATCTTCTTGCTCGATTGTCATACATGCGATTACTTGATCAACCAATCAGCTTTTCTTATTCGTACAAATATTATTTTAGATACAAAACGGAGAGGAACAAGACTCCAGGCTCTCAAGCAGCGATGAACGAGCTTCGTAATCTGTGCAGATGATACAAACTCAAGTTATATACTCTGAGACAAGATCTCACATAAATGTAATGCTCATTCGTAAGTAGACGCTAAGTTTCAAATATCGTACCAAATATCATTTATTATTAATTATTATTTTGTATATTATATATTTATCTCCGGCATGCCGGGTATTCTGATGGCACGGGCCTAAGCCAAGATTATTATTATTTTATTAATGGTGACTACTATGGCTTAATTAAAACTTTTTTATTAACAGAAATACATTACCGTGGCCTAGCGTATCGTGGCGCCAGAAATATATCGGTTCCATACATTTACTATGGTTATATTCCAATACTCAATGCCACTTAATTTTATACGGTCTCAAAAATGTTTATAGGAAATTTTTTTTTGTAAAATGACAGAGAAAGCGTGATATTTAAATATATGCAACTTAAAATTGAGTAGTATTGTAGTATTCGGATATTAAATGGATCGTGACACACTTTGATGTTGTGTCGTGTCGCATGGGTCGCCAAATGCTTGTAGCCGATTGGTGGCCACGGCGTCACGACACGCCACGCCACAGTAATGTATTTCTACCTTAAGCTGTTAATTGTTTATGGATGGTAAAAGTTCTATTTCTGTTTTTACTAGCTGGCTGCGGGAATTGGACATTTAATTGTTTTTTGGACTATGTTTCGAATTAATCATAGATCTTTTTTCGGAATGATGATGAAAGATCTGACATTTAATTGAAATACTGATTGGTGGTTTTTTAGCTACTGTGGTTTAAATGTTGTTATTGAACATCTTAATAAGTACCTAAGTTTAATTGGGAGATTAGTTTTTATGTCCAATTACAAGCTAGTTAAGAAACCTAAATGATTCTTGAATTCACCGAGAAATGCTTAAAGTGTATTTTAACTGTTATTTTTCATTTCAAATTTTATTAAAAGAATGTTATTTAAATCGATCGCTGTGATAATATTTTGACTTGACTGATGAATTTAAGTGTATTTTTGTATCGTGTTTAAACATATATATCGAATATTTAAATGATTTTGTTATTAATAATTATGTAATAGGTTCTGAACATATTCATTTTACCCACTATGATATTGATATCAAGCGAAAAAATTATGCATGTGTTTGTACAAGCAATTTTGATGCTTTAAGCTTTAATGTAAAATGCAATAAGGTTTATATTCGCTTGATCGTAACTTGTATAAATATTATTCATATTACCTATAATAATTTTGTAATAAACCAATTTATATGATGAACTCTGAATGCTTAATATGAGTTTGTTGTACGTTAACGCGCTCGACACGTTACCGCATTGTGCTGTCTGATTGGACGATTGGCTTGAAGCCGGCCAATCAGAGCGCCGAACATAACAAACGTGTCGTTCGTGCTAATGTAAAACAAACGCGACAATAGGCGTTTATAATAAAACAATGCGATACTTAAAATAGATTTTATTTATAAATTAAAACAAAACCCAACACAAGACATTGGCTATACTCTATTACATAGGTGAAAGAGATTATAAAGCCCTAATTTAGGGTACAAGTGAAAAGAACACGAGTCCTTCTAATACTTGAATACACGTCGCGTCAGTACCAATTCGTATAAACTATGAAAAGTAATAAAAAAAGTATTAAGTAACATATCCGCGGTACTGAACGCTAAACCAACATTATATACAAACATACAGAAGTTTTATAATAAAATATATCTACTAACAACTTGTCACATAGTATCTTGAGATTGACGTAACATTTATATATGTTCTCTTATTAACGTATTGAAATATTTAACTATATATAATTGAAAGCTGCACCAAGAAAAGGCATAACAATTTTTTTATATTATCACGTAATTTTGGTGAAAATCTTAATAGCATAAGATAATAACAATTTTGAAGGTACACAGTGAACTTCCTCTTCTTCGAAGATATTCTTTTTCTCAGCACAGCTCAAATAAAAGAGTATTTAATTTAAAAAAAGTAAAAAAAAACGACATTAATACTCTCACGGACTGTGAACTACAGAATACAAATTGGAATGTAAAATTATTCAAAGTTAAATGCTTTATTTACATAAAATATCACCTAAAAGTGAAGTCAGAGTATATTTTTATCAAGTCACAATAATTTTGTTCCCGAGGTTCAGGTTATATTACAAGAGATATTAAAAACGGACCCAAATTGAATAAATGTAGGTCCCTACGACAATACGTTTAAACGAGGCCTACTTTCAAAAATGGAGATGCATTTTCATAAACTTTTTTAAAAGCATAGACAAAACAGCAGAGTTGTGTAAAAAAATAAAGATAAACGGACCTCTTTGATCAATGTTGACACGATTAAAAATATTAAATCTCATTATATTTTTTTACACAGAGCTATGATTTATATATAAAACTTTATATAATTAAGTATACAACAGTTTGTTTGCTTGGTAACTAAGGGAAACGTCATTAAAATACACCTAAGGCGTCCTAAGTTTACAAAAATACATCTTTACAAATATTTATTAAATATTATCTGTCGCTAGAGCATTTTTGTAAGCAATGAAAATAATTTATACTTAAATGTACTTACATTAATGTTACTATTATGCAATGTAGATAATTTATTACATAATTGACTTCGGTAACGTTTTAAGCTACTTCTACTGTCTAGTTATTGTACTTAGTGGTAGCTGCGCAATATTAGGTCCAAGTACTGAAATGCCACTCAACTATATGAGGATAATATCACTGAGGTGTAGGTATAAACAGGTGCACATACAGTACAGCTACTTCAAAAGAGATTTTTAATTTTATCAATGTCATTGTGGAGACAAGCCATCACCAAAAGCTACCACATGATTCCAAATTCCGTTTAACAATTTTAGAAATCGCAAGACAACTATTTTGAGTGTCATTTCAGTAATCGGGCGTCAAGTTAATAAAATTAGAAATAGCAACTAGAGAAAATAAATGAATTACGACACCGACCAGCAGTGAAGTAAAAGTTCGTGTTGTTCATCTAATAAATTGTTGACATAGATGGCGTGACGTACGTTAATGGGGTTAATACAACATGTAATACATACCTCTATTGATGTGAATATTTAATTATCAAAAGGCTTTTAGCCGACATTTCTACTGATTATTGTTCTATAAATGGGTAAAATGTTAATTATATAATGTTTTAATTATATTTAAACACCAAAGACGGTTTCAAAATACGTAAAAAGACATAGAGGGGTATAGAACAAAATTAAAATTGGGTATCTTTCAACCAACACTTTGGCAGTAGAATTTACACAAAGAAACTTATTATATAAAGATTAATCGAAATAAAATTGCTTTTATTGAGCAAATAAATTGTTTTTACAATTTAAAATGAAATTGAAGAGGAACAGTAGATTTGAAAGAGTAACGTTTTTAACGTTGATATGTTAAACATTGGGACGAGGTATAGTTCCCTAAACATTGAAATAGGTATAGCAGATTACAAACTTATAACCGGCCAATAGATTGACTATTTATGGAAGATATTTCTGCATAAAATAAAATCATTGACCGATTATTTAGTTTGTAATCTGTGGTGAGTTTAAAGGCTCTGGCCTATATTGGCAGAAATTGACATTTTTTGTTTTGCGTAGACAAACATCATTAAGTAAACTTAGGCTTATCGTTTTATTTAAGAAATGAATGCTTTTAAATGCTTGATAATTTCTGCCAATAAATGCCAGAACCAATTTGAAACTTAAACTATAAACTTACACAAAATTATGTACAAAATAATAATACACAGTACGGACAAATAATCTTGGTCTCTGCAGTGTCAAATAGAGAAAGAGCGAGACATGTAGCTGGAATTATAACAAGGGCGATAAAGACAGCTATATATTTCTAACTGCAAAAAGACCAAGTTATGTTGTTCGTATTATAGCTACCGTTGCGGTACTTACATACATGCACAAACATCACTTAATTTTAATATTTTCATATCATCACAGTCTTCTCACAGGTCCTTATACTAATCTACACGTAGACTTTGACACTGGTTCGGTCAATAATATCAATTATATTGAAAATCTGATTATTTTTAAGTATGTATTTACAGAAGGTTCCTATTTATAGGTATATGAGTCAAGTTAGGCTTAGGAACGATAAAATATAATCACAATGTCATGTCTAATAGCTCTGGAAACGTCATGAAAATGTATTAAAAAAAAAGTGCTCTTATTTGGTAATTTTTGCTAAGTTGTTCAGCCGCCATAATTGGACTATTAGTTGCCATAATTGGACTATTAGTTGCCATAATTGGACTATTAGTTGCCATAATTGGACTATTAGTTGCCATAATTAGACTGTTAGTTGCCATAATTGGATTTGTACGAATTTCTCGTTTTTAATTTCTATGTAAGTGCTTATTTTGTTATATCTGTCCGATATATAACTTCGTGAGCTCCAGAATGGCTATATAATTAATCAGGCAATATAATTTGGGCAAGTAACGTTTACAAAAGAGGCAAAGTCAATAAGCTGCTTATTTTACTAAAATCTTCTTGTCAAAAATTCATCTGGAGTATTCTAATATCGCAAATTGCGAATTAAATATCGAAAAGGTTTTCAGCTTGGATTCAACATTGACTGTGAAGAATTATCAAGTTAAAATAGTCATTTTGTACTTCAGTATTTTGATCAAAATCTTCTTTAGAAGAATTTTCTTACGCCTATTTAGTGTAGCTAGTCCATTCAACCATTTGCTATCTACGCCCGAGAGCCTAGTACGTTTAACGAAATCGAAACATTACCGCGTTTTAACATTACTCTCTGATTGGTTGGTTCATTTGAAGCAGCCAATCAAAGGGCCGAACTTCATAAACGTGTCGATCGCGTTAACGTAATACGAATTAGCACTAGGCACTCAGAGTGCCAAGCACGAATAACTATCGCATTCGTATCGTAACAGTATCGAGCGAGTTAAGCGTTCTGATTGGTTGGTTCACTTGAGCCGGCCAATCAGAGCGCCGAACGCGCTCGATACTGTTACGATACGAATGCGATAGTTATTCGTGCTTGGCCCTCTGATCATTTTAAATCTCGTATAAATTAAGCCTTCGATTTTAGGCTGTGAAGAAGAACTAGCATCTTGCACTATTTTGTTCTGCATAATTAAGTTCTAACAGCACATTATTGTAATGTGTCCGTTTGTCACTTTTTTCCTTTAAACTGTTTGTGTGATTCTATAGCGATGTCGTTCTTCTAGCACGGTGCGTATGGTACGATGCACGTTCTCTGGTAGATGGTCCAGTAACATACGTGGCATTACTTGTAGCTCCATAAAGTCCTCGGGACACGCCCACCTCATCTCGTACGTTGGTTCTGTTGTGCGCACTTTCCTGTAATGTTCAATGTTTAATTAGTAGGAAATATAGTATAGAAGTCAATTCTTTCTGTAATTTGGAGTATTTCCTACATAACAGTGTATGATTTAAATAATAGTCATGACTTTGGAAGGTTTTTGTTTTTAGTAGATGGCGCCACTGGAGGAAAAGGCGACACGTAAAACCTTTTAAGAAAGTTCTAAAGCAGTGCAGGTGCTCGTTGTATTTGTTTAAAATTGCCACGTTATACTAATTAAAGATTAAAAATATGCAAAAGTGATAAATTACCTTTCCTCTCCTCCTTCATCACTTTGGTTAGACATGCGTAAAAATGTGTGAATAGAAATTAGCGAAACGAAAATAGTGTATTATACAAAGCAAATACGGTTAACCTAGTAATTCTCAGTACCTAAAAATGTAACTAATTTCGAAACTAAAGTAAAAAATTACTCGTGATTAGGTGTTTTAGCATTAAAAGTGGTAATTCTTGCTGTTTTTTGCATTGAGAATAATATTTTATATGTAATGTACTTACTTCTCGATACCCATGCGCTTGCGTCGAACGATGTGCAGTATCCGACCCGGAGTGAACAGTCTCGCTGAGGAGAAGCGACGCGCGAATACATCGCGTGATACTAACGCTGCTTCCTATAATACATAGTTTTTTAATGTTAATTTTTATTATTAGAATAATCTTGATATTAATTAAACAAATGAATAAGTTTCGGAAAACATTTGTCTAGTACCTAAACAATCGGTTCAATGTGGTATAATATAATCTAGTATATAATCGACCAAGAGCGAGTCAGTTGAAATTTAAAGCGCATGATGTACACCGCAAGATACAAAATAAGCAAATATCAATCACAATCATTATACCAACTACACATAGGTACTTAACTGAGATATGCAAAGCCAATTAAGTAGGGACCTACATAAGTAACATGTTTAACTTGGCATATTTCTAAAATTATTTACGTTCCGCAACCAAAACTTAAATAAATTAAACACGACACTCAATGCAAATGAATAAAATAAATAAAAACATTTTTAAAACACGAATGAACTATAATAATGTCCAATGATGATCGTAAATTAATCTAAGCTATCTAAAGTTCTTAAATAAAAAAAAAACAACTAAAGTGTATTAACTAAAATCACGGGTTACTCACGTGAATATACTGAGAAAAGCTCTACTAGTTTCGAAACACAGAGTGAGCTGCGCGACGTCGCCGCGACCGCGCACGCTGCTCATGAGGAAGAACCCCTCTGTGGTTCGAAACTAGTAGAGCTTTTCTCAGCATATTCATGTGATTTTAGTTAATTTTGTATGTCTCACGATAGTTATTATAAAAACTAAAGTGTATAATTGTAATTTTCTTTTTGAGGTGGACAATCGTCCAATGACTTCCCCCGCCATATGTGAGGCTAGAGGGAGTGTCAAACTTTAACTGACTGAAAACCACCCCGTTCCTACTCCTGCTCTTCGAGCCGGAGCCCCGGCAATCCGTTAGGCCTTCCGTGGTACCAACGGGATAATGGATAATTAGTTATAATGTCATCCCTTAGTTAATTAACAAACATTACTTAGGGGAGACTGGGGACACTTGATCCCCCCTTTTGTTTTTTGGCAATTATTTTGTAAATATTAATCCGATTTTAAATATTTTGGTACTTAAATATGTGGAATTTCATTGGTTATACTAAGTATAAGCAGCAAGTGATATGTGTACATAACTTTACTAACTAGCCCATGAAAACTTCGTATAGGGAATGATATCATGTGTCCCATATATGTGTTTGACTTGATCCTCCCTTCTGGAAGACTTGATCCTGGGGGGAACAAGTCTCCCACATTCGGGGACATATGATTCTAATAAAGAAGAAAAGGAAAAAAATAGGAATTTTAATCATCGATTTATTTGCTTTTTATCTACTAGCCATCATCTATTCTTTGACATTTATGACTATGCTCAATAATCAACTACTAACAACTTATTTCTGAGAACTCAAATCACATGTTAATTTGTTAAAAAGAAAATATTACTTAAAGTTCTAGTAACTTTTTTTACTTAAAACAAAAAAAACATTAAATATTTTTTGCAATTGGCACAACAAAACAAAATATCCCTTTGGTTAAATTAAAACTTAGTTATTCTTTCTTAAAGTTAAGCAGTCTTTTTTTTATCTAATAGCAATTATCTTTTTACTTTTTATTTCTCAATATTAAATTTTCTTAATGATTTTGGAAACTTAAAACTAATAACTCTTTTTGATGATGATTTCACTTCCGGAACTGGTAGTTTCTTCACAACTTGATATTTGGCAACTGAACATCTTATCATTAATTTTTTTTGCGAATTTAATGTCATATCCAGCGCGACTTTCCCTCAGTATTTGCCCAACATATCTATGAACGAGATTCTTTTGAGAGATTAGGTTCACAATAACCCAATCTCCAATGATGATGGAGTATTTGGAGTCGTCTTCATTCTCTGATTCGCTACTACTGCTATTAGAGACATCACTTTCATTAAACGAACTTAAAATTGATTCTGGCGATGGCGGTAGTTCTTCATCTTCCGACGTCGTTAGTTCTTGTTCTTGTGAATTTAGGTTACGTTTTACTGCTTTTACTTTCGCTTTGCAAATCTTCTTTTCTTTTTTCTGTTTTCTAGCTGCCCACTCATTCTCGATTGCCAGTTTTTCTGGTGTATCTGTTAAAATCCTAGTTTTACCTTTTTTTTCCCCTTTCCAGATCCTTTTCTCGGTCCTGCTTTGGGGTGTGGTCTTATTACTTCAAGACTTACAAATGCTGATGTCGAAGGTTTTGGATCGTAAGGGCTGTCGTTATTTCTAATTTGTGAAGAACCAGCTGCAGTCGGTCTGTTATTATTGAAGGAACTCGTAAGGGCATCTCTATTACTGGCCATACATAAGGAAAGCAACTTTGGGGGAGATTTTGCAGAATCATTTTCCTTTTCATTATCAGAAATATTGGGAGTCACATCGTCATCTGGAATTGGCATTGGTGCAACTGGCGCATCATTTTCTGTATTCCTCATGCTAATGAGGGCAAGGGAAGCAGGCGCAGTATTTTCAGCTGTTAAAGATTGATCAAGTAAAATAGACGGTGACACAGATGGTGACACAGATGGTGCGGTTATAATATTGTCTGTTTCAGTTTGCACAATTTCTCTATCAGTAACGTAGGAGCTTAAATATTCGTCATCTGTGAATATATCAGGGTTGAATGGAAAAATTCCAGTAACTGAGAAACTTTTCTGAATATTTCTAGGAGTCATTGCATTGGGGTAAGCACTGCCTAGACATCCAGCCAAATCATATATGGTTAACGGCCGCCCTGGATGACTAATCATCCAATTATCGCATGCAGTATTGTAGTATGACTTCAACGCTCCAAATACTATTCGATCCAAAGGTTGTAATTTTTGAGAGGTATGTGGTGGTATAGTTAAAAGATGGATACCATTATCTTTGCAGTAGTTTATAGAGTCAATAGTAATGTGTGACTCATGGTTATCAAATATAATAAGACAAGGACTGTCCTTGGTGCATCTTACATGCTTATGGAAAAATTTCAGGAAAAGTAGGAAATTTGGCCCAGTCATCCATCCACTCGGATGTGGAGCTCCTTCAGTACCCGGTGGGCCACCATCTATCATTCGTTGCTGCCAATTTTTACGTGGGAATATAATAAATGGTGGCAGGTGGTTACCTATAGCATTTATAGCTCCACATACAGTAACAAGCTGCCCACGTTCTCCAGATGTGACTTTAGACACTTGTTTGAGACCTCTACACGCTACAACTTTTTTTGGCTTATGAACTGTAGTAATTAGTTTCGTCTACGTTCCAGATTTGGTCTGGCCCAAAATTAAATCTCTGCAATAAGCTTTTAAAATTCTCAAGAAATTTCCGACATTGTGTCTCTGTTAAAAGCTGTAGCGCGAGATAAACTTGTGGCTTCGGGTACACGCAATGACAACTCTTTGTGACGATTCATAAAACCGTAGAACCAATCGTAAGTAGCTGTTTCCTGTTCAACCCATTTTGGTGGTATTTTTTTACTATTTTCAGAAGCATATTGAAATGCAAGGTCTCGTACATTCTTAGGAGTTAATCCATGGTATAATTTAGTGGCCATTATTAAATAATTAACAAGTTCTGTCTCTTCAGTTGACGTAAAAATTTGTGACTGGCGATAATTTGGCGTGTAGTCAATATTTTCAGTCGTAGCATTTTTCTTCTTTCTGACATATCTTTTCAATGTCATAACTGCTATCCCGTAACCTTTTGCAGTACCACGAATACTCTTACCCTCTATAACATCATTGACAGCCAACTCCAAGATTTCCTTATTGATTGGTATTCTTTTTCTTGCACCTTCTTTTGTTTTATATGTTCTAGGCATATTGAATCCTGAAATTATTAAAAAAATTAACATTAGGGGACACTTGATCCGCCGGGATCAAATCTCCCATAAGAAAGTGTACCATGTGTACCCTAGGTATATTGAGGTTATAAAAGAATATTGTAAAAATATCTACTACTATTAACACTTTTCTATGAAACAGACGTTTAAACACATAGATAAGGAATAGTTTAAAATTGATTCTAGTACAAAATATGTTTCCTATCCAATTGCGAAATCAAAATAAAAACTTACGAAAAATATTTTCTGGCCACACGAAACACACAATCATCCGCCATCTGCTCAACTGTCAAATTTGACAGGAGTACCAACTTTAGAAAGTTTGAACGTACCATAGACTATCAATGTTGCCACTTATAAATCATATAGTGTACACAAAAGCTTTGTAAATCCAGTGTATCTAGTCTCCCGTAAGGATCAAGTGTCCCCAGTCTCCCTACATAAGATTATTTTGTGCTTAATCACTGTAATAGGCAAAAGATCGAAAAAAATAATGTGTAGGAAGTTAAGTATTTTTTGTATGACAATAAGAAACAAGTAATGCTAAGTGTAAGTGTTATCTTTAACAAAACAGTAACTTGTCAAATGTAATAGGGTAGTTGCCTAAATTTTACTTTAATGTCCGTCTGGTAGATTAATTTAAAACATTAGACACGTATTTTTTCTTTTCTCACAAAATTAAATACTTTCGACGATACATTAATCTGAAATATCGTGTGACGTCACTATGCGCTACATTTTGTAGCACTTTGTGACGTAACGACTCCTAAACTTAACTCCATTTTATCTCAGTATTGTAACTTTATACGAGAAAATAAAAAATACGTGTCTAATATTTTTTGATTATCTAACTGACGGACTAATTAGGTTTTTAATTTTCATTCCCTGGCAACTACCCTATTCCCAACATATACATACTTAGTAGTGATGTGGTGAATAAAATAAATAAGAAAAATAAAGCCTTACCACTACACGAAAACAAACAAGCCAAGGATCACGGAAGCCACACTCTAAATAAAAAGATGGTAACTGACAGCACTCACTGTGGACACGCTATGGACCAGTAGCGCGTCGGCGGAGTCATCCGAATTTTGCGCCTCCAGCTGTTCCGGCCGCCGCCATGTTGATTCTAGATCCCGTGCAGGAACCCCGAATAACGCGTAGCCGAAGCCGTTCAGCATTATCCGGTACTGGAGATAAAGAGAATAGAGTCGTCACAGTTTTTAAATGTATTGCATTTACATTATTTGCAGTAAACAAAAAGATACATTTTGAGTCTATCAAAAAGGACTCAGTTATTAGCGACAACGAAACGACATTGAATATGTTGATAGGTAGTCAGTTGGACAAGTCCAACTCTAAGCGTTAAATTTGACGTACTTATAAGAGTTACCATCCAGGTACTAAGTGCCCTTCGTTCAGTAATAGTGTTACGATACATTAACTAACAGCCTGTCAGAATCAGCTCCTGGCTTATAGGCCAGAGGCCTCTACAAAAGAGGTTTACTAAAATCTTCAATCTTCTTTCTTACCTTAGGCAATTTAGTGGCATGAATGGTCTGTATGATCTTCGTCCTTAGATTCTCGATGCTATGCACGGAGAGCCTCATCACCAGATCGTCACCAACGCCCACAGTCATCACAAATGATTCCGTGAACCGCGCAGCTTCCCGACTTATAAGCCCAGCTATAAACCAAATAATTCAAATTAGATAATTGCTTGGTTACCGGAAAATTTAAGCCAAAATAGACTCTATGTTATGGTAATTTTAAGCAAAATGTTAATCGAGGATATGTTTTCATTCCCAACGTTCTATTTTTAAATTGAATTAATTTATGTAACCGAACTTTGTTTCCATGATAAATATATTTAAAAGGTACTAAGGGTAGATAGAAAAGTAATAAAGATAGAAGAAGATTAGGACAATCGATGTTAATTTAAAGTTGAAGGTATTCTTAATTAGTAGCCATAATTAATTAAAATAATGACCAAACTATACTTGTCGTAATTCAAGCTCCTAAGACAACAAGCGAGAATGGATTATAAAGGACAAAGGACAAAATATTTCTCTAATTCAGCACCCACGGACCACGGGACCACATATTTTAACTTTGTAAAAATGAAATGCGGGCAAAGAGAGGGTTGAAATTTAAATTCCCAACTTTGCCAGCCAAATTAATGTTGGTCGCATTTGTGTTTCAGAACAAAAAAGGACGCTATTTGAGTGCTCCTAAATTAGTGGAATTACGTACAGTAGCATTTAGCGGTCGTTAAGGTACAATTAGGTTCATTATTCATTGCGGCAATTCGGTAGGATGGTATGCAAATTAAAAAATTTTCACCTGGTGTTGAGAACGCGAATACTTTGAGGTGTGGGTATCTCGGCCTTAGCTTTAATGCTACTAATACTGCGACTCCTGCTCCGAGACTGTGACCTGAAAAGAAAATACATATCAGAATAAGAACATATAGCTTTTCTATAAAAAATTACAATTCTTGACATATTTTTGTGATTTTTTGTTTTTATTTCATTATAAGGTTAAGAGGTTTTCTAGTAATTGGTATTAAAAGGATATGATCTAAAATAGTTTTTGATTCCTGGTAATTTTATTTAAATAACTTTAAAAGCAGCCTATGCAAATTAGTTATTCATTGTTCTCTGAAAATGATCTCTATCAAAACTAGAATAGGTCTATTTTTAGACAATACCTATTTCTAGAATATCGCTTGGTTGGTAACAAAATGTATTGTCTGTGTATTATCTAAATTAGTATCTACTAGAGGCGATACTAGCTACGTATTTGCTAACCTTTCCTCTCTTTATGAACTTAACATGCTTTTGCCAGCTTCTTCGCACGCGTTCTCGTGAGAAAAAAGTGGCCTATGTCTTCTAGATTATAATCTACCCTAGCTCCAAATTTTATATCGATCCCTTCAGTCATTTTGACGTGAAGGAGTAACAAACAAACAGACAAACAAACAAACAAGCATGCAAACTTTCGTGTACTTGGTTATATAACGAAACAGTTAAACAATTTGGTGCAGCAATAATGCATAGTATCTTTATATATATAATTCTTCTGTGAGTGTGTATGTCACTGAACTTCTCTCAAACGACTGGACCGATTTTGATGAATTTTTTTGTGTGTGTTCAAGGGGATCTGGGAATGGTTTAGATTCACAAATCAGCCCGGCAGATAGCGCTGCAGTCGGTGTCTAAGTTATTTATCTTAAATGGCTGAACTAATTTGAATGAAGTTTTGTTCATATATTCAAGTGGATATGCAGGACAACGTCTGTCGGGTCCGCTAGTAAATACATAATATATTACCTGTGAGTACGAGGTCATACTGAGGGTACTGTGCGAAGGCGCGGTCCAACACGGGCAGCAGACGTTTCAGCATCTTAGCGGCACCCATCGACATACCCTTGTGAGCTGCTGTGTCTTCTGGCAGACCTGTTATCCATAAATATTTTAAGTTTAAAGTTAAATATTCTATAAATACACAATACAATATCTATGTACTCTAGTAAGTTTATTAGAAGATACAATTTTATTTTAGTGAAGGATACAACGCTGCTGAGATTTCGACCTTTAGAGTTAACCTTAGCGAATTTTCTAACAACACAATTGCAGCTTGGGTAGACTATACTGTTCGACTAAGGTACCGATGTCATTTAAACAGTCTTGTAAATAATATACGTCCTACACACAGCAAATTAAATAAATATTTTAAAGTCTTACCATCTGCTTCAAATCGTTCCGATCCAGCAGTGAAGTCGGTGAATATATCCCTAAGAGAGATGGAACCTCTCACAGCCACCACTATGCTCTCTCGTTCATGGTCCGCTATCACGCAGAATGGTAGCTAAAGAAATAAAGAACATTATTAGAAGTTTCGTTCTATCTTTTCAATCAACGTTTTTATCATTTCAGTCTTGTGACTGCTTACTTCCTTCAATTTAATATACTTAATCATATTATTATGACAAAGTATTTATAGAAATGTAAATCTAACATCTTTTCGTCATATTAATGGTGACCATGCAGGCTAAAACAATGAAGCCCAGTAGTTGGTAATAACGTCTTAGGTGCGATTTAACGGCGTGTCATAAACTCCTACCCGGTCCTGCGGATAAACCTGGTGTGATTTTACTATCTATCGTTTACAATGTAGGTACAGTCAGGGAGTCAGGTCAAAATTAGATTTATAGGTGACACCAGAGATATTTAGAGTATTCTACTGATGTTATTGTTGTTAAATCCTATTGGATCTTTGGTACGGAAGATGACGATGGCCTTATTCAATAAATACATCACAATTCCACACTTCACATCACTCTTGGGACTTTGGAAAAGTACATGAATAGTTGCAAGGATCGAGCTATGAAAACTTTTTGACACGTTTCCGACCAATAGACCACGTGAGACAGTCGTTAAAATACATGAATAATGTAAACAATCAATTACATAGTGTGTAATTTGTTGTAAAAATAACTGCATTGTGTATGTGTTAGGAGATTTCACGGTCACACCGTGTTTGTAACAACGAGTCATCGATGACTGCATGTCGCGTAACAATCGGGTTGAATCACTGACATTGTGATATTTTTAATCCAAGCTTTTTTGGGAAACCACATCATGTGTACATACGAAAACTCTCATTGTGTATTTGTTTTAAAATTCATTTTAAGATAAACGATGCGGCAATTTTCTACTATAGGTAATCGTGATGGGTACCTATATAGTATTTAAATCTATTAAGTAATCTTTTCTTAATTAAATTGTTCTTAAGACGATTATATACATCAATCTTTGCACCACCGCACCGTAGCAAGAAATAAATCCTTTTTAAATTCCTGTGGGATTAATTAATGACAATCTTTTAAATCTCCTTTGGTTACAATATCTATAGATGTCTACCTATAGTTTTAGACTACTATAGATAGACATCTATAGTAATCTACACCTACTCGAGCGAGATTTTGGGCAATTCTGAAACATTTTCTTCTGAACAAGATACTCATCAATTAATCTTTCCTATCTATGTAATAGGAAAACATCGACACAGTGAAAAGTGGAAAGAAGTGTGGAAAACAGGAGACCATCGAACGGAGTAGGTACGTACTTCAAATACTCGGTTGTTGAAAGAAGCGAAGATGATATCGTCGGCTGGAAGGTTCGACATGTACTTCACGCCGGCAAAGTTGCACATGCAGCAGTTGTCATCTGTCACTATGCTGTTTTTAGGCCTGTGGACAAAGAACAATTTATAAATCAACACAATGTAATCAAAAGAAAGTTAAAAGCTATGGTTGACTGTGAGAGAATGCCCCTAGGCTGTAAGTTCGCCACCGTATGTTTTATACAGATGTCTAAATAAATAAATAAATAAATGATTGTAATGAAGAAATGGATAAAATATGTAAAGGGCATGATCATGACGATTCATAAGTGTAGTAAGACAAGGATAATTCGATAACTGAGACGGAAGAATCATTGGAAAACGAAAAAGACCGACTTTTTTGTGGCATAAGCCGGTAAACGAGCAGACGGATCACCTGATGGTAAGCAATCGGCGTCGCCCATGGACCCCTAGAACACCAGAGGCGTTACAAGTGCCTTACCAGCTTTTTGGGGATTAGGAGTTTGAGGATCGTTGGGGATTCAGGGATTGTGGAGGATAATTGGGCCTCCGGTAACCTCACTCACACGAAGAAACACAACGCAAACGTTGCTTCACGTCGGTTTTCTGTGAGGCCGTGGAATCACTTCGGTCGAGCCGGCTCATTCGTGCCGAAGCATGGCTCTCCCACACTTGAAGTGACTTGATGATGCGTTAACATCAAGTTGGGCCAATTGCAAAAAAGAGAACATTTTAATGCATTTACCATTTGCTATAATACTATCGGTCAATTACATGTATTGACGAATATTATAGACAGTGGCAGCAGTAAGTTTATTACACTATTCACAAAACTGTTTAGTACTGTTGGCTTGACGATCACAACTTAGAGATAAACTACACTAAAACTAAAACAGTACAATTCAGATCTTATAAAACTCCCCCCCTAACAATAGACACTTCCTTTAGAAACACAACTTTACAAACTGTAGACACATTTAACCTACTCGGCATAAACATAGACACCCATATAAACTGGAAAGCTCACATAGAACACATAAAATCAAAATTATCAAAATTTACATACGCTCTTTTCCAAATTAAATGCAGTACCAATATCGAGACGGCACTATCAGCTTACTTCGCATATGCGTACTCCTGGTTGAGATACGGCATTATGCTATGGGGAGATAGTGTAAATATTCATGACCTATTCATATTACAAAAAAAATGCATACGAATCATAGCCCAAATAGATAACCAAGACAGCTGCAGGCCCTATTTTATTGAATACAATCTTTTAACACTACCATCCATATATATCTATGACATATGCAAGTTTGTATTCAAAAATAGAGATAATTTCACGAAAGTAAAAGACACCCATAATGTAAATACCCGACATAAAAACAGACTGTACCTACCACCATCTAGAATTAAAATGCTTAACCAAAGTCCTTACTACATGGCTGTCAAAATATTCAATAGATTACCTAAAGACCTACAAAACGAAACTAAAGAAATTATATTTGAAAGAAAACTAAAAAAGTTCCTAATACAAAAATGCTTTTACTCGACAAAAGAATTCTTCGAAGAAAAATATAACACCAAAATTAAATGTTAAACCTACCCCATACATACACCCACAAGCACACACCAACATACTATACATTTTAAATATAAATATTCTATGTATATACAATATACTATACATTTTAAGAATACCCACTTACATTTTGCACTTACCCACTAATATATTATATACCTTATGTACTTACCTATATTCCGAACAAATAAATATGTAAAAAAATGTTAACCAAAATGTAATTTATAATAAGCTGGTGACACCCCTAAAATTTGCAACGCCTGAAAAAGGTCGTTAAGCTGTGCCTGTTATTTCATAAGACCTGTATGTATTACCTTAACATGCAAATAAAGAGTTTGAGTTTTTGAGTTTTATACAGTTCCAAATAATGTTCCAACAATGTTCAGACATTGTTTAGTTCAGCTAAATTCAGAACCTAATTGAAATTTCAACTTGGCAGTGGCGTGGGTTGTGGTTACACACAAAACCAACGAGGTAGTCGAGTTATATGGTAGTTTCAGCTATCTAACATTAATCTTTCTATCTTGCGAATTCAAATTAATATTGTTAAGTTATTTTTGGTAAAGTACTTTCTTTCTCTTCTGAAGTTCATCCATCCACGGCCATAATCAGTGGGTTTGAAACTAAAATACTTCCATTAACTTTTTAACTTTTCTCAAGTGAGGGCGCTTTTACTCAAGATTGACTTTTGAACTTTGAAGAAAGTTTGGGACAAAATAACTTTGTTAAACGATCTGAATTAAGAAGAGGTAAAGTAAAGTAATTTGCCTACATGAAAACTGTATCTATCTTAAGTGTTATTAAACTTACACGGTACACTTAAGAATATTCAATAAGAACAGTTGTTGATAAGCTGTACTGTATAATAGTAAAATAATCAAGTGACCGTGAGTCAGTGAGAGTGGTACTTAACTCTGAAGTACACTTAAAACTTACTATTCGCTCCCGTAAATTACGGGAAAGTTAGCTCAATTCGGAATTTGATATAGTGGAGTTTTGAAACTCAGATAAAAACTATCCCAAAGAGAATAGACTGCAAACTTCTGAATGAGAGAATAGACGAACGAAAGTAAATGATCTATTACAAATTCTAGTAAAAGAATCTGTCAAAACTTCCTAAAGACCGTTGTAATCGGTTAGGAAATAAATTGAATCTGTTTTCTGACGAAGGCAACAGGAAAATTGTGTTAAATTTTCCCCGAGTTGAGTTTGTTAATTAATATGAAACCCAATCTTGTCAGCATCAAATGAAATGACGGTTGAAGCGCTTACGAATTCAATTTTTAAAATGAGCTTCGCAGTTCTTTGTCAAGGTCAGCCATATTGATTTTTCGTATGCAACATACATAACGTGAGTGTTTTATATGCTTTCAGCCTCGCCTTGTTTATAAAATTATTTGATGAATTTATATGAACATATCATAACATCACGCCTTTTATTCCCAAAGAGGTAGGCAGAGGTGCTCATTACGCCACCGACTTTTCATTATTTATGTCATAAGTCCCATGTGAGCCTATTACCATATACCGGGACACAATTTCAGACTCCGTGCTACTTCTGAGATTTTTTTAAAAACTCGCACTGAATAACAAACCAAAACACTTTGTCCGACCCGGGGATCGAACCCGAGACCCCTTACTTATTAGTTGCACTTGCGACCACTCGGCCAACGAGGCAGTCTGTTTTTATAAACTTAAACTTGTCATCTCGCGACTAAAGACATAATCAAGTTTGTCCCATTCATTTATATAAGTTACCCCAACTAACTTGTACATCAAATAGAGATAGGCTTTAGTTTGTAAAATAGGCTTAAGCTGTAAAGCTGTCACGCGTAGGGGTGGCGAGTTACAAACGGTACAAATTAAATTATGAATAATTAATTAATGCAAATCAGTTTGGATTGACGCGGCCCAACTTATAGTTATTTCCCATCCATGAAACCCTTTGGGATTTGCATAATTATTGCCATTCTAGTTAGCAAAGAGTATTCGGATCCAATGTAAACATTCCTAAACTTTGTTGAAATGATACGCTGGGTTTAAAGGCTTTTCATAGATATCAATGGACCAATCTTAAGTCAGAATATATTTTTAATCTTTTAATTTCATGGGATTAAACGAGCAGATGGATCGTCTGATATAAATAGGGATGGTGACAGAGTATGAAAATTAAAATTCTGTTTTGTCCGTAACTTAAGTAATGAAAAATATTAGGCACGTATTTTTTTACTTTGTTTTATAATAAAATAATTATTAGATATAACGAATGACAGTTTAGGAGTGGGGGCTAAAACGTGTAAAATATACATAGAAGTCACGCGACATCTTAAAACGAATACGTACCTATCTATTTTTTTTTCTTTTATGGAATAGGAGGCAAACGAGCGGACAGATCACCTGATGGTAAGCGATCACCGCCGCCCACGGACACCCGCAACACCTGAGGAGTCGCAGGTGCGTTGCCGGCCTTTTAAAAAGGAATAAGCTCTTTTCTTGAAGGTTTGAAGGTCGTATCGGTTCGGAAATACCGCCGACGACAGACCATTCCACAGTTTTGCTGTGCGAGACAGAAAGCTACTCGAGAAGCGCACAGTTGTGGCCGGCCTACCATCTATATGATGTGTCTAACCATCTAATGTTTTAAAATAATCTACCAGACGGACATTAAAATAAAAATTAGGCATCTACCCTAATCGGAGACCTGCAACAGCAGTGGTGTCAAACATTTGTTTTCCAGTGCTTTAATTTTTAACCTACTTATACATGAAACCGTTTTACTTTACCATTCCCTGACCTGCACTTACTACCGTTTGAGAGTCGGTCATAAAAACTGTTGTAAACTTTCAGACTAGTGGAAGGTTTATAGACACACTGTGACCTCTAGGAATACCATAACAAGTAGGTGTATGGTTATGGCAGAATAGTATATCAATACCTACTAATCTTCCAGCAAATGTCGTAAGAAACGATTAGAATTACATAAATACATACATAACTTAAACTTTTTGTTGTCGTTGTGGCCCGGAGGTTTAAGACGCCCGTTTCTCATGCATGAGAGTGTGGTTTCGAAACCTACCAACGGTAAGTACCTATTTGACTTAATGCTCAAACCTTCTCCGTGTGAGAAGAGGCTTTGCTCAGCAGTGGGCACTTATAAGCTGTTGATGATGATGATGATGAAACTTTTTAAATTGGCAATCCCATTCACCATTCCATTCATTTTGTGTAAAGGTGACCAATAGTTCAGCAGTCGACTGTAAGGAGATTTTGATGTGAAGAATGGAAGAACAATTTTTAAGTAAGAAAGGAAATCAAAACTGCCTCGTTGGTCGAGTGGTCGCATGTGCGACTGCTGGGCATTATTCGGTTTTAAAAATATTCTCAGTAGTAGCACGGAGTCTGGAATTGTGCCCGGTTTAGGGCAATAGGCTCACTCCCTATTACATAGGATTCATAAGGTGAAAAGTAGGTGTAACATTGTATAGTGGCTCTAAGTGCCGTAATGTGCACTTCTGCCGACCTCTTCGGAGATAAAAGGCGTGATGTTATGTTATATTGTGTAAAGAAACTCAAAACTTACTTAAGTAATTGTTTATGGCATTCGGGTACTTCTTGGTAATTAGTAGTTAAATTGTTCAGTAATAAATAGTTTGACGCGTAATCGGTCTCAAAGCCATCAATAATATTACACCTACTGTTATTTTATTTGATAAGCGGTTTTGATAACGCATACCTTAGGATGATTCACTGGTAGCGTGTCTACACCTGGTTTGATTATAGAAAATAGATATATGTATAGATAACAATTATTATCAGTATATTGATAACTTTGCAGACAAATAATTAAGTTGTCACATCTTTAGTTAATAGACATTATGATTTTATTTAACGTTTTTGATTGGGTTTTTTTAGATTTGGTTGGAGTTTTATGAAACAAATAGATTGGCGTGGAGTCCGTATCTTGCTTTGCCCACTTCTAATAAATGAGGGTGCCGGACCGAAACCTACCAACGGCAAATACCAATCTGACTTTTTCCGAGTTATATGTAGTTTCTAAGATTATATAGACACAACTGACAAACGGTAAAGGCAAAAATCGCGAGAAAACCTGGGCTTGTAATTCTAAATATAAGTTGGAAATCGTCAACCCGCATTGAGCAAGCGTGGTGATTAATGCTCAAACATTCTCCGTGTGAGAAGAGGCTTTGCTCAGCAGTGGGCATTGTAGGCTATTGATGTGATGTGAGTCCATGTCTTAGCAACCGTAGTTCAGAGTGTAGAGTACCCTTCAGATAAGTAGACTGATGTAAAAGTCAAAGCCATTAATTGAATTAAACCATAATTTGCTACTTTTGAAACGTCAACAAATACAAAATAAATAATAGTCTGTCAGTCAGTCCGTCAGTGAAGTTAGGTGCTCATTCTGATGATACGATGGTGGTGATGAATACATATGTAGATTTTGACTTCCTTTGTCTAAAGATAGATTTATTTATATTTAATTAAAATGTCATAATACTAGCTTCTGCCAGCGGTTTAGTCCGCGTTCCTGTGCCACAAAAAGTGACCGTAATCTACTCCTGTTCCAAATTTCATCTCGATCCCTTCAGCCTTTTTGACGTAAAAGAAAGACACACACACACACACACACACGCACACACACATACACACACATACATACATCCTCACAAATTTTCGTACCATTTCACTAATTTTCGCTGGTGAGAAGTAGGATTTAAGTAATATATGTACGTATCTAAAATCCTGCCTACAAAAAGAATAAAGAGAGGGCGAGACGAAAAAAGAAAAGTACCTAACACACGTGTTTAGAATTACAATAAAGTCTATATTTGCAAAAGTCCAAGTTCATGTACCCGTAAAGGTAACGACGTCTGCCCACGCGGTCAAGTTCAGCCACATTTGCATGTGTATTCGTCGTGTAAACAAACAATTTCCTACCTGCCTATTTTAGAACAATAGCCGTATAATTCTAGTTGACTTGTTGAGAATTTTTCAAACAAAAGGCCTGTGTGACTGCTTTGGAAATTATGTATAATTTGGTGCTCTTAGTTAGGTTTTGTTATGCGTAGACAATACTAAGAAAGAAAAGAATGAAAGAAAAAACATTTATTTAGCACCCGGCACGATGCAGCATAAATAAAAAAAAAGACAATCAAGATGTGACAGTGGAAGTAATAAAAATATAAGAGTTGAAAAATTGAAACAGAAGAATTAGAAAAGAGAAATTACTAAATAGTAAACTAAGTTTTTGGTTCTTTATAGTAGTTGTTGTCATGTGTATGTTAACCTGTATGTTTGTTAACGCACCCACGATACAGGAGAAAACGGTGTGGGGCAACGTTTTTTTTTAAATGTAGTTTAGACCATGTATCTATCCGCACTGGTTAAATTGTTTATAGTATTTATAGACCACCTTTTACGTAATACATTCGATTTTTGGACTTCTATTACTACTTACTGCTTATAGTAATTTATCAGTTTTAATAAATAGCTAAACAGTATAAGACTACAACGACCAATCAGTAAGCACCATAGATGTAATAATTCCTAAGTATAACCTGGGTGTCTTCAAGGCCCGAGTGAATAAGTTGCTTATGGGACGACGTGCTCCATCGTAGACCGCATCATCGCTTACCACCAGGCGAGATAGGGGTGAAACGTCGGCCCATCAAATATATAAAATGAAAAGTTTAATTTTTCTGTGGTAAGTACAGCTTAAATTTACAACAGTAATAATTTAGATATTAGTTCTAAATCTATATAATACGTTGATTACTGAATGAAGTTGAAACGCTATTGTTTGAATATTCCCTGCCGCTGTAACCCTGTCAGCTGTGTGATTAATGGCGATCCATTTATCAGGATCAATTGCAATCCTTGATAATATCCGTAAATTAATATAAAAACAGTCGTTCATTCCGCTAAGCGTTTTCTTTTGGTGTTACAATAATAATCCATTTGTTTTTGGTAGGAATTGTGTTGAATGAAACAATTATGTATATACTCATTATCTAAATAGGTGGCAAAAAGGGCCGCGGTAGTAATCTTTTACATAAGAGGGATTTCGTAACCTATATACATCTTATAAATCTCGTTGGAGTTGGAGATCAAAAAGTTCAGGATTATCAAAACGTACTGCTACCTGGGGGCTTACTCTTGAATCCAATACCGATCGATTGACATTGATGTTGTGAAATTTCGTACTCTTGAGTCGCAACAATAGTGCCTATTGCCTCCGTATTGCGTGGATATTTAATTAATGAAGTAAGTACGAATTTATATTCCGTACTCTGAATGCTATTTTAACAGCTACGATAAGGGTTGTACACTTTGTACAGTATTGACATTGAATAATTATTGAGATTTTATTGGATTGAAATTGCATTGACATTGGTTTCAAGAGTTGCTTACTGTACCCAGGTTTCAGTCAAATGTGTCAACACTTATTCAGCTTACTTTGTCAACGTATTGTAACTGCACGGTTGGTGCGGTGGCTGGGCAACCGGCTGCCGTGCAACGTGTCGCGGGTTCGATTCCCGCACGGAACAACACTTTGTGTGATCCACAATTTGTTGTTTCGGGTCTGGGTGTCATGTGTATGTGAACTTGTATGTTTGTAAACGCACCCACGACACAGGACAAAATCCTAGTGTGGGGCAACGTTTTTTTTAAAAAAAAAAATTAAAAACGTATGGCTCCTATGGAGAGGATAGCAGTGACAATGTTATCTATTCTGCTGGCTTCTATGAGTACTAAATAGGATAAAATTTGACTTACAATGTCATGTCAAAGTCTATTCATCATACGCTAAGTATAAACCAGACAGTAATATTGATTGATTACTAAGAATTCACTCTGATTTCAAAATTCGGAAAACCGTTACAGAAATAAATAAAAAGGTTCCTGATTGTCGATGATATCAGACATAATACAACGTCACGTCCGTCAGTATTGATTCATTCTGTGTTTAAATTAAACGTATCCGTATATAAATCACATCTTATGTACCTATTCACAATTTATTTTTAATGATATAAAGTTCGATGGCGTGTGAATTTTTATTTAATGTTTAATGGCCTGCTCCAAAAGGCTGGTAACGCACTTGTTAATCTGGTGGGTGATACAGGAGTCCATAGATCAGCTGCTAGTTTTCCCTATCTCATAAAACATGTTTAACTTTCGAAGAATTACATATTATTAGCTGTGAAAAATCGAAGCACAACTCTTCAAAAGATCCAGTCCAGCAAATTGTTACAGATTGAGTTTTCCTCGAACAGATTCTGATTCAAACAAATGTTTATACAAAATTACTATAATAGTGTTAGTGAAGCGATAGGCATTTGTCCACGTCTCGGGAGACACTATGAATAAATTCTGAGTACACATTATGGGTGCATGACGGAAGTGTTGCCAGCTTTATAAATAGAAATGGACTTAATACAACTTCCTTATTGTTGATCTACTTTTGATGCTATGTTATAGCGAAATTGACTCTCTTTGTTAAGGAAAAGATTGGCTGTGTGATTGTGTTGACCATTTCAGTAGACAGTGATCTTAATAATGCTTATGAATGCTTTGAGGCTCTGAAGTTATCATAATCGTGATCAGAACTGACATAACCTACTTTACTTTGGCACTTGTATGTGACATGCAGATAACTCTAGAAGATAGAATGCCGAGTAAATTGAAAAATAAAAGTGTAGCAAATATTGGTGTCAAATTCCAAAAAAAGAATCCGATATAGCGAACCAACTGGCAATGGCAACATTACTTTCTGCCTTAAAAATAATACTAGCAGTAGAATTTAACTAACTAATTTATGAAGTACGGAACAGAACAAAAGAAACAGAAATACACCATATTTTTTACTATTTTACGTACAAACGATCCACGTGGCAAAAACCAGTCGCGTGCAAACTGAACAAAAAGAAAAATATAAACTGTGCAGGTATGTTTTTACTTTGCGAATTTTGACGCAGGTAATAAAATTGTAACTGGCAATTATGATAAAAAAGCTATCCATTTAGATGACACGCGAAAACAGATTTGAATAAAGAACGCGATAAAAAAATCCTACAACGCCGAAAGACTCGAATTATCTATCAAAAACCAACGTAAATCAAAAACTTCAATTTTAAAATAAGAACGAAAAAAAAACTTACCGGCAGCAACAGCAGGTCAAGTGTCTGGCCAGTTTGCAGAAGCCAGTGAAGCAGTGTCGATAAAACACGTAAGGCCACCCATACGCTGCTATGGACAGCCTTAGGTAATGCAGGGCGTCCTCCAAGTTCATCCACGGAGGTGTCTCCGAAAATATCTTATTAACATCTGTCGTATATATTGGCTCTTCATCGTTAAGCATTTGGATTCTTCTCATTTCCCTCGTCTCCCTTTTTTGCCGGACCCTGAGTAGAACGCAGCCTGCCACCACGTCTGATGGGACGAGGTCCGTTGATCTGAATAGGGCGCTTAGGAGAGCTGTGAAAGAGGATGAACTGGTTAACAGCTGTTATTTTGTAGAGGTGGTATTGGTAATTTAATAAAAAAAATCACACAAATGCGAATCTCGTACACTGTTTCCTTTTTTAAAAAGAGGTTAGGAAATTTTTAGGCCTTTCACTAATTTTTTCCTTGTCCAGAATTAACATAGTTCTTACATGTTTCTGTTATGCAATCGAATGACTAATCTAGTCAAAATACGATATACAGATATGTATAAAGTATTACCTAATCCCCACACAAGAAAATAAAAAAGTGAGGATTCAATTAATGTGCCGTAGTCTAAAGTTTTCTCATTTGGAAGCAGATAAATTGCGCAGTCCTTATCTCTTTGTAATAAACCACTTTTTCGCTTAACATGTAAGTAGTTATAACAGTTTTATCAGCAGCTTCGAAAGAATTTGACGTAATTGTACTTGTGGAATTATTATCCAGTTACTGACTGGTGACCAGTGTTCTCTTGGTTTCAGTGATTATTGTTTAAGTATTGCACCTTCACAAATTCATGAGTCATTGCCATTTTTGTTATGGAACTACCGAAAAATATCAAGGCAATGTAACTATATATATAATAGGCCAGTAGGATCCCAGGAGTCCCTTGAGGCCCCATTAGAATGGAACACAATTAGCGTAAAGTGAATGACTAGACAAAACTACACTCACTTTTCGCGACATACTTTCTTTAGTATATCAAAGTTAAAAACGAAAGTAAACTTCATACAGATAACACACTTCAGTTAAAAGTTACCATTATACGAAAAGGTAACATTATATTATAGCCTATTTGACAAAACGTTTCTTAGTAAAAAATACCTCTAAATTATTTCGACTATTCCATACAATTAATTATTAAAAAATAAAACTACTAAATAAAATCCATAGAAAACTGTCGTTTTTGACAGTTCGAAAAAAGAATGTGACTAGTTGGTATATACTATATCCAATTGTTTTTGTAAATAAATACGAATTGTTTTTTGAAATCCTATCAGGAAAGTGATTACGTAAAATGGCAGTGGTGATACCGTGGACGCGATTACAGTAATCGGAGCGGAACGTACTTGTAGGGCATAGAAGTCGGTTGTTGCATTACTTTCACGTAATCAAATCATCAACAGGGCATTGCCGGACTATAGGCCTTTTGTTCGAGACTATAAGAGCGGAGTTGGCCTGTATGATTGCCTATCGGGTAGGAGATTGCAGTTCAAAAGGTATCACGGGACGCTGCTGCCCGACCTCTGTTAGGTGTACTCCCGCGCACAGATACCCGCGGGAATATTAAGGGGTGGTGCTGGTGACAAAAGTAGGGGGAGTCCGGGAGAGTTTATCCACCTTTGACTAAAATGCTCATAAATCACTTTATATTTACAAAATATAATTTTCTACAAATTGTACACTAAGCTGCATTATTAAGCTTTATTTTTTTCAAAGAAAATTTTATAAATCATTAATACTTTATAAGTAATTAACGATTTTTACCGAAATGAGATTTGGCTAATATCTCCCGCCTGGGTGGGAGACTTGACCCGCAAAGAAGGGAGACTTTACCCGGGTTTAAAACTAGGCAAAATAAAAACAACTAATTATAATTATTTAAATAAATTTATTGAAAAAAACATAGCACATAATAAAACGTAGTAAATGAGAACAAGAGCTACATAGTTGAGTATCTTCGACATACGGGTAGATAGAATTAAATACTTATCTCATATCACAGTAAGTGTTTATAAACATTTATCATTTGAAAATCTTTGTAACATAGTTTATAACAAATATAATTAAGAATTTTCACAACCAACAGTTATTTTATAAAGAAAACAGTCTTTCTACAGCAAATGATCTTAAACATTTAACAATATCTTATCAATATGGAGAAAAATGCTAACTAATATAGGCTAGGTATCTTTGTAGCAAACATAACAGTCTAAACCTATTCTATCTGTGTCATAACTAAAAAAATAACTAAGGTACAAATAGTAAAACGCTAAAAGTAGGGCAGCAAAATAAAAAGACTTTCAAAACTAGGAACAAAAAAACACAAAACAAAAAAAAATCTTCGAAAAAAATCTCATAATCACCAGTCTTCCTTTTTTCGTTGGATCAATTAGGACAAATGAACTGTTCCTTATTTTCATTTTTAACCAGTCCAACGCATATTTCATGGTCATTTTTACCACAAAAAGCGCAGTCTCATATCCATAACTTCGTTTTCTCCACACATGAAACAATACCAATTATTTTGTACTTCATTTCATGAACTATCAGAGCTATCTTCATATTTGGGCTTGTCTTCAAGGTCTGTCTCACTGGCACTTGACTGTAAAAGTTGTCTTTTTGCAGACTTTTTTATTGCTCTACCTATTTGTTTCTGTTTAGTTAATTTGATTTTTTTCTCAAACTCAATTCAGTTTCTTCTTCTAAATCCTCTAAACCAATCCATTCCTGCGCAATTGTTCGATGTCCATAAAGCTGGGACCTTTTTGGAATTACTGGTTGTTTTTTTTGATACTTACCTGAAATAAAAAACAAAAAAAATGGTTGTCTGTAAAGTTCAAGGGAAACAGAGGGAGAGATTACCCTGGGTAAAGCCTCCCACCGTCGCCAGGGTAATATCTCCCACCCCACACCACGCTGTCTGTTATTCAATTTCTGAAAAAAACTATAATATTTAAATAAAAACTGTCTGTTGTAAAGGTTATAAGGATAATTACACTATAGATATATATTCATGACACGCTGAAATCTATAAACTGTAAGCAATAGCACCCAAATCTCAAAAATTGAAAAAAATTACTTACCGGGCACAAAAACCTGTTTTCACGTGTTACTCGAAAACAAAACTGCCGATCGCAACGCCGCCACGTGAGCAAGGTGGGAGGGGACTATGAGTTTTAAGAAGTGTGGCAATTTTGAAATATCTAGTTATACAGAGATTCTATGATCAGTGGCTATTGTCTCCTCCCTGTTAAACTCTCCCGGACTCCCCTACTCTCTTTTCTTTCTTTTTATGGAATAAGCGAGCAGACGGATCACCTGATGGTAAGCAATCGGTGTCGCCCATGACGTTACCGGCATTTTAGGGATTAGCAGTTTGATGATTCATGGATTGGAGAGATTTGGGGAAGGAAAGGGAGAGGGGAGCTCACTCATATAACGAAACACAACGCAAGCGTTGCTTCACGACAGTTTTCTGTGAGGCCGTGGTATCACTCCGGTCGAGCCGGCCCATTTGTGCCGAACCATGGCTCTCCCACACTTAATCCTTTCTTTCTCTCTCACTCTCTCTGCCGTAATAACACGGCTTCCGTAACTATACGTATCTAACCAAATATGTTATTGTTCCCTTTGAATAATTTGAAATCATTATTTTTCTATGTTAAGGTACTGTTACACATGCTAATTTCAAGCACGAAAGCAGGCTTTGATAGATCACTTGTCCTTTAGTAGCACGTGTGTCGGAATGTTGCTCAAAATTTAGCGTGCTAATGCATGCTTGTGAATCGACAGGCGTTCGATATTTGAATATTTTTGAGCATGTTCAATAGAACGCCTTTTAGCTTGCTAATTTAGAGTAAATGTAACAGTAACTTAATGTTTGAAGGTCGATGCGTCTGTGTATATGTATAATGTAGCTCGGCATAGTGAGCTTTCTGGTACACACACTGGGATTCCATTAAACCCACCAATCAGAGCGCCGAACGTGGTTTCGTTTCGATGACTTTAAGCGTAAAACAAAGTCGTACTAAGGCCGCAAGTCATTCCGTTACGATAGGTTGCTCCCTAAACAATCGTTTGTGGTGACCTTTTTAATTTTGCTCGTTATTTCCAGGTGTTTAGGTAATAAATTAGCTTTACCGTCTATTTATTTCCACTCTGTATGTGACTACGTAAAAGATATGGGCGAATACGTGGTGTCTTTTTTTTTTTAAGCGGGGAAAATCATCGAATGACTGCTCCCGCCTGGGTGAGGCGAGAGGGAGTGTCAGAATCTTACTGACTAAAAACCACTCCGTTCCTTCTCCTGCACGTCGAGCCGGAGCTCCGGTAACCTGTTAGGTTCTCCGCGACAATACGTGGTGTCTTGTGGATTCAATTCAAATTGAAATTGTTTATTATCTGAAGAATTACATATCTGTCTAATATTGAGGCAGTCCCAGTAAGTGTTACACAATACTTGTGTTGGGCCGGACGATCCTTCCTTTTTTTATTTAATTCAATGATTGTAGAGATTATCATATTTTGGGATGATTTTATAATAACTATCGTAAGACATGCTGAATTAACTAAAAATGAGGAAGAGTTTTCTGTGACTCGAAACTAGTAGAGCTTGTGTCACGTGAGTAACTCGTAATTTTTGGTTTGAATTATTAGTAGTTACCTATTTCAAGTTTTGATGCTTTTTCTTATCTAGGTTTCTATATAAGTCGGATTCTAAACTATTTATACTGTGCACGCATTTAGCAACATAACCCGTCCAATAACTGTGTCATGTCAAAAAGGTACATATAATAAATCTGCAAAAAATGCTTATTCACGATACCTAAATATATCTTCTTGAGAATAAATATAGAACCGTATTAGGTATAAGGAAAAATAGTACCTACAAAATGATCATTTCTGACCTACATTATTTGAAGGTTGCTTATTAACCTGTCGCAGAACTACGAAGCAAGTATAACATTATATCTTGGAGCGGTATCTATGACTAGAATAGCTACAGATATAATTTAAATACTTCCGTTCTCATTCTTTAACAGCTATGTAGATGAAGCATGAGGCAATCAACTAGTGACAGAAGTCAATAGAGCGGTTTGTTTGTTTACTGCAAGGGAAGGGACGTTTACATTCTATTAGTAATAGCATATATATTTTTAAAACAATGCATTATGTAATATTTTTATTTAAAATTCTATAAAATCATTTGTAAATACTACTTAAAAAATAAAAAATATCATAACATAACATCACCCCTTTTATCCCCGAAGGAGTAGGCAGAGCTGCACATTATGCTACAGTACAATGTTTTAACGTTTCTCATATTTACCTGCAACCTGCTGAAAAGCTTCCTTCCCATGTTCATCTCTCTTCAGCCAGCAGAACGCCCATCGGAACCTTCGAGACCACAACCCCGTGACCTTCCTGTGATGTCGGACCTGGTTGGGTGTGTCCTGCATGTCTCCATAGTTCACTGACCCCAAGGGATCAAACACCATGAATAGGCCGAACACTGTTAGACCTAGCTGCACCCAGTTGAATAGGACTATGCCTGTGGAAAATGGAAAATGTGTTTTATTGTCTAGTAATATGTTGTAAAATCTCGTATTTGGAGTTAAGATGGCTAATATTTTAACTTGTATCGTTTTTCAGTGAATTGTGATTAGCTAACGTAGGTAACTATTAACCTGGTATTCGAATTACAAAACTGATTGTATTGTAATGTAATCAAACATAATTTATTACGACTAACGAAATTCCCTTCTTATTCGAATAGGCTACTACAATACGTCACATTGTGTTGAAATGCCTACAAAATAAACAAACCGTTATAGTATCGGCCTTCACCGTCCAATCAAGAGCTCAGTAACTTGAACCATTGATTGACAAGAAACTCAATACATAATAATGAATTAATTAAATCATTCACAAAAGGGGTATTCATACAAAATGTACAATCTTGACGTTGAAAGTCGTTCATTGTGTGGCTTTGAAAGGGGAGTTTACAAAGGGTGCGCTAATTTACAGAAGCGGGTGAAACAGTAACTCACTTTGTATGACTATACTGGAGAACTTGTCGTCGACTGAACATTGTATTACTTCGCAGAACATCCACATCGTGCCCATGACGTTTAGGGCCGTCTCTGGAAACACTAGCAGCACTCTGCAATAAAACGTATATTTGTGAACGCTCGTAAATCTCAGGTGTTCGTACACAACACTGTTCTTACTGTGGATACTTAAAATGTGTTTGTATAACAAGCGTGAACTGTTGTTTCTTGGAGACGATATTTATGTATCTAGTGTCTTTTTGTAAGATCGGATGGGTAGATAGGATAGGTGGACACACGGATCGTCTGATTGAGATTCAAATAATTTTATATCTTATACTATCATATAAAGCGCAAGAGTTTGTTTTTTTGTTTGTTTGTTTGAACGCGCTAATCTCCGTAACTACAAGTCTGATTTGAATAATTCTTTTGTGTTGGATAGCGCATTTATCGAGGATGGCTATAGGCTATAAAACATCACTCTACGACTAATAGGAGCTGAGCAGAGAGTGTGAAACCGCGCGGAAGTAGCTAGTATCGTTATAAAGTTGCTAATAATATCGCTATCATGACTCGAATACTATGATATTTACAACAGACAAAAATACACGTGGCCAGTAGGTAATTGCATTCATCCCAGACATAATACAGTTATCTTGAGAGATATTACAAATAGTTTATTTATACCTACCTAAAATGTTGTGACGATTTATTGTCGAGTTGTAAAAATATAATTAATGATAACATAAATCCCGATACACTTCTTATCAATATAATAATTGTACAAATTATTTCAGGTTCATATTATTATTATGACCCCGTTTTCTTTCACAACAGTTCACTGTTCGCAACTGTTATGACTCAAGATATAAACAAACGAACAATTATTAGGTCAAGATTGACAAACTGTAAACAAATTATTTGAATACATATTGTTATCGCGTGTCGACATACGATTTCATTCATTATTGTTACTCTAACAGTCTATCTACGCCGATATACTTCGAGCCACTAAAAATAGCATATCCATAACTTTTACCGCATAAAAAATATTACACCTACGGCAGTAACAGTCAAGTGGGATCACTTAAAAGAAATGAAACTATAAAACTTAGAGTGATTGCATAAAAAACGAGGCTGAAATATCTATACAGTATATTTACAAACTTTTTTATATAGTGAGTGAGTAGGCAAGCAATAAATACAAATGATGTTTTAACTTCTGAATCAAATACAACTATGAGGAATTAGTAATGTTTGCCAACACCGATGTGTGTGAGTATAATAATGCGGAACATTACGTGTGCATGCGTAATCCTACAATTTTTATATCGGTTCGCTCAATGGCTGTTAAACAATATTTTTCATCAATGACGCGCACTTTTTACTGTCGTGGAGTGTAACAATTATTCGTTTTATTCTTAGTATGTGATGACGTGAGTGTGCTCAACTATTGTAGGTTATTAGCACCTTGGATTAGAAACTATTGCCACTTCTAATGCACCAGCTGCGTTGAACAGAGAAAGTAATATTAACTACGTTTTGTGAAGAGAGAAAATGTAGGAACGGAGCATGTACGGTTATTTATAACGTGTCTATCTATACATAGATTTGTATTATTAGACATGGACACGTAAACAAAATAACATCAGCAGTAGATACATCTCAGGATCAGAATTGATTATCTTACGATTGTGTATTTAACAACTCTGGTTATGATGTAAAAAACGTAATATTATTGAGATTTTACAATATTTATGATCCGATTTCCGTCAATTCACGTTATATAAAGGAAAACAAATATTCGTCGATTGTTTAATATTTATTTTGCGATCTCTTAAGCCCTTTAGAAAGCTCTCAGTCACGCGTACTGTTTTATTCATTCCCAAGGTCTCTTGGGCCAAATAGAGATTTATTTGCGAAAACAGCTTTATTATGTCAATGTTTTGTCAAGCAATAATACACAGGTTTTGGTTTAACACAATTGTTATTGTACTTTAAAAATAGATTTCTTTCTTTAGAAGCTAGGATTGTTCTCGGAAAGCAAGCGAGAAAATCCCGGAAAATCTTTGAACACGTTTGAAATGCGAGTAAATAAATTGTTTTAGTAAGCTAGATTGTGAAATGAGTGTTTTGTTTTGTGAAATAGATACTCGGAACATGTAAACAAAATTAATTGTTTATGTTAGTCTCTATTGTCATATAGTCGCACTGTTGTTTTGTGAAACTGATTTTAGCGAATGTAAATACTGATTGAGCATGATGCTGAATATGTACAGGCTTTAGTTTCTTATACTCTTATTCTTAGAACTTCCAGATTAAATGGACATTTAAATTGTTTGACAGTAAAAATCTATACTTATAATAAATCTGTAGAGAGGTCGATTCTGTACATAAAATATATTTAAAAAATAACTATCAAGGGGTGGTTAGGGATCGCTACTGATGCCAAAAATGCAATCAGTAAAATTTTTGTCTGTCTGTCTGTATGTTCGTTATGGAAACAAAAACTACTCGACGGATTTTAACGAAATTTTGCACAATTATTCTTCATACTCTTGGGCAGGTTATAGTATACTTTTCATTATGCTACGATCAATAGGAGTAGAGCAGTGAAGGGAAATATTGGGAAAACGGGAGAAGATACTCCATTTTTTAAGCTTCCGTCGCGTTTGCAGGCTTATAGGTTAAAGCTACATAGAAATCATGTATGACGGAAATATTCTCCTTAAAATTATATAAAAAATATTCCTCGACAGCAGATGTCTATCTTTTATGGTTGACTCACAATAACACGTGAAACTCCCGGTAGCCAAGAAACTCGGTGATTTCTGATTGTATTTGTCTACTCTAACGTTTCATCATCATCATCATCATCAACAGCCTATAAATGCCCACTGCTGAGCAAAGCCTCTTCTCACACGGAGAAGGTTAGAGCATTAATCACCACGCTTGCTCAATGCGGGTTGGCGATTTCAAACTTATAATTAGAAATTATAAGTCCAGGTTTCCTCACGATGTTTTTCCTTCACCGTTTGTCTCTCTAACGTTTACAATACTCATTTATAGACTTTACGCTGTAACTGAAATGCCAATGGTTGATTTTAGCTTGATGTTGATTTGAGCTTATTATAAATGAAAATATGTGAGTTTATGTGTATGTTTGTTACTCAGTCATATTAAACCGACTGAAGGGACCGGAATGAAATTCGGAACAGAGGTAGATTATGGTCTGAAGTGATACATAGGCATTTTACCCCTGGGATCGCGGGCGAAGCCGCTGGCAGAAGCTAGTCCTAAATATATTTCTGTACGCTTCTGCCCAAGGAGATAGGATAAAAAAAACTAGAACATACGAATCACACTTACTTTATAAGAAGCAGTGGCGACACCATCTTTCTAGCATCGAGGTCGGTGATGGTTCCCTTCGCTGACTGAAGCGCTAGGGCTGCCAGTAACAGCATCAGCGCAGCTTGCAGCGTCAGCGTCGCGCAGAGGTACAGCCTCACGAACGCTCCGCCTTGCCAACCCTCTGACTGACACTGCCATGTCACTGGGTACAGCACCTCCACTACTAACGCTATTAAAACTAGCCTGTGGACAAAGAGATAAGGTTCAATTTTGAATACGATTATTATCCTGCACTTGCATTTCAGTATAATACCTTATGATAGCAAACTTCATTACTGGTTTGATTTTTGAATGAAAAACTGTCGTTTATCTTTGGGTTTTCCTTGTTGAAAATATACTATGTTTCTGAGAAAAACATAGACGTGGAAGTTGAAAACATAATTCAGCCACAAAGAGTATTGTTTTGACGGCTGTAGGAACATCAAAAAGTGACCTAAATCACGCTGACGTTCTTCTAAATAGAAGTTCTAATGCCTCTCTGATGAATGGCACACTGAACTAAATGAAGCGGTCAGTGTTTACACAAACACCTACATAGGTACTGGGAATTTATAAATAAGGGATTTCTTGTATACTCTGATGTTTTCTGAAGTTCCACGAACTTGTTTGAACCAAAACATGGGGTATTCTAGTGTTATGATTGATATATGAATATCGTTATGCTTCATCACGTGTTATTTCGGAAGCTAATGTCAAATGTCAATCCCATCAATTTTCATATATGTTGTCGGAAGATTTTGTCTAGTTTCCCAAGTTTTGATACCTATAATAGAGATGATGACAGGGTATGGAAATTTTAAATGTAATTAGTCCGTCAGGTAGGTAATGAGGAGGTATTTTGTTGTATAATAAAATGATACTTAGATATAACGAATCAAAGTTTAGGAGTGTAGGATAAACCGTCATTTATACGTATAAAATGTAGGTACATAGAAGTGACGTCACTCGACATTTCAAATCAATATATCTTCGAAAGTATTCGTTTCCGTAAAATAATTAAAAATACGTGGATAATGTTTTAAATAATTTACCAGACGGACAATAAAATAAAAATTAGTCATCTACCCTATTTTTACTCGATGCTAAAATAGATTTCTCAATTAAAATCTTAAAGTACCTATGAGTGATTTGTGTACGTAAACATAACGTGAGAAAAGCAGTGACCAAAAAACAAAGAAACGAAATCTGACCTAATTCCGATTTAAAGTACTCGTAATAATTATTACAGAAAACAAAGCGTCATTCGTCGCGGCCATTCTGCCGGTCAATCAAACGTTGGTGTTGTGACAATTTAAAACCCATTACGGAGCAATCACGCTGAGTTTCGAAGGTCATCGTGTCACTGAAGTATAGAGAAATTGCGAGCCAATATTCGGAGCGAAAGCTCATTCATATTAATGGCGTGCAACAAGTGACATGAATCGAAGGTCGGTGATATTTGCACAAGACATCGAGATGATAAAACATTGTCATTCACATAATAACTCTAATAATAACTTACTTATAAATGGAATGACAATATTGATAGATACCTACTTAAGTAAAATTAGCATTTTTTATGTTATTGTAACGAATAGGCATATGATGCAATGCGAGCAGTGTATTCGTCATATCTGGATGCCGGACGGCCGGTAGCGGCAATAGAATAGACAATTAATCTATCGATATCAAGACTTGAACCTTAAGTTAATAGATACATAAATAAGTACATACATAACATCAGGCCTTTTATCCCCGAAGGGGTAGGCAGAGGTGCACATTATGCCACTGTACAATGTAACACCCACTTTTCACTATTTATGTTATGAGTCCCATGTAATAGGGGGTGAGCCTATTGCCATAGTGAGTTAATAGATATACGCCCGAATACTAAAAGGTTACTCAATTTTAAGCCATAGGTACTTAAATATTGTGCCCTCTCAGTCATTTTACAAAGAATTTAAAATAACAGAACTATATTTTGATAATAACTATCGTGAGATATACTAAATTAACTAAAAATTGCTTGTTTAGTCACGTGAAAATACTGTAGGCTACGCGACATCGCCGCAACCGCGCTTGCTGCTTATAAGAAAGAACCTCTGTGGTTCGAAACTAGTAGAGCTTTTCTCAGTATTTTCACGTGAGTAACCCATGATTTTTATTTAACACTATACTTAAGCGCGACTTAAAATTGAATAGCGTTTGAATATTTGAACAGTTAAGTTAATATATTTGAGCCGCCATAAAGGTTTAGAATGAAAAAAAAAACTATAAAACTTTTCTTTACAATTAAATAGCATCCGTGAGACTTTATGGCCTCTTGGCAAACTGGTAGACGCTCTGTGTAAAACATTATCATTCAGTGAAGTTTTCAGTACCTACCTAAAATTCTTTTATTCAGTATTCAAACACCTAACGAAAGGTTTAATTTAGCCTAATAAGCATAGCAACAATTTCTTTTCATTTTATTTAAATAGAACTTTTATTCTTAGTTGATTTTAGTGAAAGACCTTTCATTAAGCCCAACATTGTTATTGGGTTTAACGAGGGAAAGGGTAAATTAATTCTTGTCGCAATATTTACGGCTCTTTAGGTACATTTCTATTTTCTTTTGTTGCTTAAATGGTTGAAATACTGGCATTTTTATTATAAGAATTTGTTCTTATTATTTTACTTCAAACATTGTCCGTGAATAGAGAGAAATAGACCCTTTTATTGAACTTTATTTATCGTTTTATTTTCGAGAGAATTTATTTTATTGGCGAAGTTTTTATGTGGTTGTTTTCGGCCTGTACCTATTGCAACTCGTTTTATTATCTTTGCAAAAAAGAAAAAAAAATAACTTGCCACAATTTTCAAGTTCGGAAACTAATTTCATATTTAGAATGCATTTTCAATCGATTAGTAATCGATTGAAGATGAGTCTACCACAGATTAGATAGACATGTGCAATAGTATGATTAATTAATTATGTTGTCAGCAAATAGTGTCGTATTTGTGAAAGTGAGCCACTGATGTAACTCCACGACCTCTGATGTCCTCATACATCGCGGTCAACGGAAGTATGTAGACAAAATGGAGCCGTTTTAAAAATATTTATGAATAATTGATTATGTTGTTCAAAGTATTATAAATTTTGTTGGTGTACCAGTACCAGTAAAGAAAACAATTGAAGTCTCCAGAACAATGGATTGGTTGATTTTTCTCATAAATTGTGTTTCGAAGTGCTATATTTGATAAGAATTTAATTATTATTAATGGTTTTTTCTTTAGTCTAAACAAGTTTAAAGTTAGTAGGTACGATTACTCTGGCCATTATGCAAATAAATGTCTATCGTTTATGGTTTGTAAAATAGATTATGCATTGTTTTATTTTGAAGCAATTATTATTTCGTTTTTACTAATGTTTCATTAAGTATATAATCATTCTTTAAATGATTTTCCATTTTACATTTTTCAATATGCCAATGCCATGCATGCCAATTCTTTAAATAAGTTTTACGTAAACTATCTTACTAACCATACAAATCTGAAGAGTAGCTCGAAGATGCTGGGGAACACGAGATCGTCGGAGGCTGCCAGCCATTTTCGCCCCAGTAGTCGGAGCGCTGGCATTCTGAAACAATTACAAATTCTTATTAATTACGATGGCTTTCTTGCGTCTTTATTAAACTTTGAACTTACAGTCTAGTACATAAAGTATTTAATTCCTATAGCACCCCCCCATATACAGAACCCCCCGAAACCCAGATTACACAACCATTACACCCATATCATTACCATGTCGCGGAGAACCTAACGGGTAACCGGGGCTCCAGCTCGACGTGCAGGAGAAGGAACTGGGTGGTTTTTAGTCAGTAAGAGTCTGATGCTCCCTCTCGCCTCACCCAGGCGGGAGCAGTCATTCGATGATTTTCCACTCTTAAAAAAACACCCCTATCTACAACTAAGACAGTGCTTGAGAAAAATGTGCAAATAGAAGTATTTTTTCTACACCACATTAGGGACCGAACTAAAAAATGAGATGGCCTCCATTTGCTCGCCTACTTACACAGACAGATGCGAATAAAATCCACCAATTAATGGCAACACTTGAGACTAATGTGAGGAAAAACTGCGGGAACCTTCTAGAAAAAGAAAAAGGATAATGAAACTGGCCACAGTTTCGGATCTAGTCCTGTCGAAGCTATTTGCGACCACCATTAGTTCTCGTTAGAAGCTAAGGCGATTTATTTTTGGTACATAATGATAGTCTATTGTTGCACGCTAAGTAGAAATTATACGAATACGAAACCTATGCTTTAGGGGAACTAGTTCGTTTTAGTGTGGTAGATAAATAGCTTAATATAAGTGGTTTATTGTATCTAATCTGGCTAAGATATCTATAAGACAAATTACTGACAATGTTACCTTTATTATGATATTAAAATATAAACAAAACAGACTATAAATTCGAAAAGTGAGCATTTTTTTTTGTTATATAATTACATCACTTAGTAAGGAACACTGCATCTAACTTCAACAGTGCCGTTCAATTAAAACCATCAGTTGCTAAACCATTGCTAACCTTAGCAAAGCCTTTTTAAATGTCTATGTGAAGTTGGGGTTGTACGGTCATTGGCATAAGATCCATTCATGAGATTGAATTGATCATCCCTTAGAAATCGAGGTTAAGACGTCAGTTTGGGTATAAAATGGCTGAAGGACTGAATAAGTACCGAGGATTACCATTTATACTGAGATTGACAGCTCGATTAAGGGTTTAGTTGACTCCTAAAAGGGTTTTTTGATGATTTCAGTAAGGACATCTTTCTTATGAGTTCTTTCATCTTTTAAGTTTGAATGCGTTAAAATACACCGAACAAATCGATATACTTTATGAATAATAGGTAAATTAAGTGTGAATGAAGCAACGCTTGCGTTGTGTTTCGTCGTGTGAGTGAGGTTCCCAATCTCCCCAAATCCTGAATCCCCAACGATCCTCAAACTCCTAATCTCCAAAAGGCCGGTAACGCACTTGTAACGCCTCTGGTGTTCCAGGTGTCCATGGGCGACGCCGATTGCTTACCATCAGTTTACCGGCTTATGCCATAAAAAAATCTGATAGATTTATTTTGAGACCAAAACTGACCATGACCAAGCATCCTTAACAAGATGTAACTTAAAAAAATTAAAACAAATCCTAGTTTGCTGATCGTGTTTACAAATAAAATGTGCCTAAGTATCTCCCCAAATCATTTTAATTAAACAATTATTTTGCTAAACTTACAATTACGTATTTAATCTTTCCTCACAGAGTTCGTTACTCAAACCGAAATTAGTATTAAATCAACGACTAAGATAAATAAGATACAAAACACAAAATGATAGTAAGGTGAAATTAAATTGTTTGTAGAACAAACTTTTTGGCTTAACAATAATACAATTTTGAACAACTTTACAGACAATTCACAGTTGTATAATTAACTTTTGTGTTTCGCAAAGTTATAAAAAACTTTCAGCCCAGTTCGTTTTATTCACTTTTAGTATATTTTTTTGCTTAAAATGCGAAGTTTATTTAAGTAGTAACGTGCTCTGCTTATAGTATGGAACGTGTTGGATTGACTAGCAAAATACAAATGCGTGAGTCACGTTGGATATTGAAACGCTACTTAATTTAAAATTTCGGAAACTCTCATGCTCGTGCGTGAATGAAAACTGGCACACATCAATTTTTTTTTAAACTTTGCCCCACACTAGGATTTTCTTCTGTATCGTGGGTGCGTTTATAAACAAACTAATTCACGTTCACATGACAGACCCAAAGCAACAATTTGTGAATCACATAGATTTGCTCTAGGAATCGGACCCGCTACACGTTGCGCGGCAGCCGGTTGTCCAGCCACCGCACCAACCGTGCATTCAAACAGTTTTTACCCTTATGGATAGAAAACTACTCAAGGCGTACCGACAATATCAGCTTGAGTTGTTACTGAAAATTTAAGTTGGCTCACAATGTCTTTTCACCAAAGTACCTATATAGGCAGCAGTTTTAATGTCCATGCCGCAACATAAACTTAGATGCTAAAAAATACTTAAGTTTTACGAAGGACTGCATAAAATACCAAGTCTCACTCCCACATGACCTTGAAACCTGAATAATTAAAGGCTCACGTTCGCGGAAGAGGTCTATTAGGTCTGTTAACCTGTTAATAGCCCTAGCAAGGCCTACAAAGTATTCTAAATAAATTACACAGGTAACTGACAATTACGTTGAGCCTTGTTTCATCACACATAATGACATCCATTATACAATACTAATTAACTATTATATCTAAAAGGTCTCACTGGAAAATAGTTTGTGTCATAATACAATAATACAATATAGTGTTTTTAACTGACTTCAAAAAAGGAGGTCAGTTTGACCTGTGTGTATATGGTATGTATGTACGTAAGTATGTAAAACATAAATATGAATGAATGTTTGTGGGCGATCGGCTGAACCGATTTTGATGCGGTTTTCACTAGAAGGTTATACTTTTTCTTTTTGAGGTGGGAAAATCATCCAATGACTTCTCCCGCCCGGGTGAGACGAGAAGAACTGTCAGACTCTTACTTCGAGCCTGAGTCAGGGGAACCGGTTAAGTCTTCCGCGACTCTGTAGACGGTTATACTTAGGAGAAGGTTTTAGTATATTGATTAACCGATTTAAAAAATTGAGAGGATTTAAATCGGTTTTATAAACGTAATTTATAAAAGAATTATTTCTCACGGAGTTGTGGAATGGAAGAAGTGAAAACGAAAAACATGAATTCACATTAACTCGTCGAGTACCGGTTTTATAGACACAATTAAAGAACAATAATTATAGGTCGCGGTCACCGGTGACCGCTTGGTGTTTGACAGTTTAAAGTATTTTTGAACGACTTAAATTCATGAAAAAATAGGTTCCTTTTTATGTTATTTTTTGCGAATAAGAAAGTAATATTTATAAGTTTACAATTATTCATATAAAATACAGAGAAAGTGTCTGTTGGTCATCGAAATTACAAGTACACGACATGTATGTATCCAATTTCTAATTGTAAACAAATTTTCAAATACATCAAACAAAACAAATTGCTTGTCTATATAATATTTGTTTAAAATCCAACTGTAATAAATCGACTACAGAATAATTTATCGTAAAACTGGAAGTCGGCAATTTGATAGCTACCCAAATAGTTTTTGAAAAGCTATTAGAAAGTTGTACTAACGAGTCTGTGTAAACCAATATAGGTAATTTGTTTTAGAAATCCTTGATTTATTGCAAAACTAAAATAAACACAACATACGGTATATTTAACACTTGTCCAGTTGTATTATGGCACCCGTGTCCCTAATCGAGGCTATCGGCATTTCACACTCGACCAAGGAGACTTCTCGTTGACTTATGTTGCAAACATGAGAGCAGCATACAGCAATAAGTAGATCTGTAGATCAGATCTATAGTCATACGACATAGGTAATTGCCGAATGTATGCTACACTAAGTGTGGGAGAGCCATGCTTCCGCACGAATGGGCACGCTCGACCGGAGTGATACCACGGCCTCACAGATAACCGACGTGAAGCAACGCTTGCGTTGTGTTTCGTCGTGTGAGTAAGGTTACCGGAGGTCCATATAATCTCCCCAATCCCCGAATCCCCAACAATCCTCAAACTTTTAATCCCCAAAAGCCCGGTAACACACTTGTAACACCTCTGGTGATCCAGGTGTCCATGGGTGACGCCGATTGCTTACCATCAGGTGAACCGTTTGTTTGTTTACCGGCTTATGCCATAAAAAAAAATTCCCGACATAGGAATCTGGAATCACGCAACCGTCCAGTGCAAACCCTCGACTATGATGAATTGGCAACAAATTAGGTATTATGCGAATCAGCATAACCATTATTATTTATTACATTAGTGCATATAGCATTGAAATTGTTCCAAATCACGTTTGCATGTCGAGACGGCACGTGTTCTTTATTCCATTTACATCTTTCGAACTCGTCGTGTCGGTCGGCCGACCTGTCGGCCGTCGCATGTAGGTACCTCGGCCGGTGAACTCTGGAAGCCGAAGTATTTCTGGACATCGAAAACTTTTTCACTTTGTTTACGCAATTTACCCTAATGGGTCGGTCAGTGGGTTACGGATATTTTTAACAGTATCAAGTATTTGTTTATTTTTAGTTCCTCTTTATTACTGCGAGTAAATTGTTTCGTTCGACTCGGTTTTATGTTGTTCACAGCTGATTAAACAGTCTGGTTGCTGTATTTGTTTTGTTTTTTTTTTGTACTTATTATAGTGCTGAATAATGTCGCGGATTTTGGTGTTGGACGTCTTGTTAAAATAAAATGAGGAAAAATTTGATTCACTTCATACAGTAACTAGTTTTGCACGCTACTTCTTTCGTGAAAGAAAATGTGTATAAACGTCTGCAGAGATAGACCCTATTTGATACCGAAGCTCATTAGAATCGGTTCAACGGTTTGGGTATAGACCCAAAATAAATAAAGAAAATAACTTCCACATTTTAGTACCTATACCTAAATACTTTGGTATAACTTAGGTCAGTTACTGATACATAAAGAAAATCGCCTTACTGGACG